GCCTCAATGACTCTAAGTAGTAACAAATGTAAGATGTTGCACAGCCTTAATGACTCCAAAATGATTGTTTCTTTGTAAGAAGTCATTGCTTAGCTTATAGGAGCATCCAATATATACAAGAAATAATTTGACAATGCTTATGTAACACTGAATTTGGTTGAAGCAGGTGAGCCCAACATTACGACCCACGGGCCGCATGCAGCCCGCCAGCATCCTCCCCCCCCCTCACCCCCCGTCCTATTTTCTTGCGGCCCGTTCAAGTGGTTTTTCATAAAGAGTTAAGGTCCGCCATACATTTGGTTCGTGTGGGCCTGGCTTAAAATCATTCATCACATACACTCCACAAAATATGAACCGACAGAATCTCACCTGAAGCTACAAACACAAGTAACAGTATAGAGTCTCATCTGACGCTTTCTACGCAGGTAACACTACCAAGTACTATCTACACAGGTAAAAATACTAAGTACTATCTCCACAGGTAACAGTACCAAGTCTCTTCTGAAACTATGAGGGCAATTTCTTTAGCGTATTGTATAACTTGCGGGTGATAACCCATGCGTATTAACAAGAGTTGCAGCCCTTTGATGGGCGATAACACTTGAGATTTTACATCTTCCTCACAGATTCAACATCACTAAATATTCAATCACCTAAATGAATTACATGATAGTATTGTTCAATCTCAAGAACAATCTAGAAAATTAAGCTAGAATTGTTCAATCTCTAAATCAGTCTAAAACATAAGCCTAGTATTGTTCAATCTCTAAATCAGTCTAAAACATAAGCCTAGTATTGTTCAATCTCTAAATCAGTCTAAAACATAAGCCTAGTATTGTTCAATCTCTAAATTAATCTAAAACATAAGCCTAGTATTGTTCAATCTCTAAATTAATCTAAAACATAAGCCTAGTATTGTTCAATCTCTAAATCAGTCTAAAACATAAGCCTAGTATTGTTCAATCTCTAAATTAATCTAAAACATAAGCCTAGTATTGTTCAATCTCTAAATGAGTCTAAAACATAAGCCTAGTATTGTTCAATCTCTAAATCAGTCTAAAACATAAGCCTAGTATTGTTCAATCTCTAAATCAGTCTAAAACATAAGCCTAGTATTGTTCAATCTCTAAATTAATCTAAAACATAAGCCTAGTATTGTTCAATCTCTACATTAATCTAAAACTTAAGCCTAGTATTGTTCAATCTCTAAATTAATCTAAAACATAAGCCTAGTATTGTTAAATCCCTAAATTAATCTAAAACATAAGCCTAGTATTGTTCAATCTCTAAATTAATCTAAAACATAAGCCTAGTATTGTTCAATATCTAAATTAATCTAAAATATAAGCCTAGTATTGTTCAATCTCTAAATTAATCTAAAACATAAGCCTAGTATTGTTCAATCTCTAAATTAATCTAAAACATAAGCCTAGTATTGTTCAATCTCTAAATTAATCTAAAACATAAGCCTAATATTGTTCAATCTCTAAATGAGTCTAAAACATAAGCCTAGTATTGTTCAATCTCTAAATTAATCTAAAACATAAGCCTAGTATTGTTCAATCTCTAAATTAATCTAAAACATAAGCCTAGTATTGTTCAATCTCTAAATCAGTCTAAAACATAAGCCTAGTATTGTTCAATCTCTAAATCAGTCTAAAACATAAGCCTAGTATTGTTCAATCTCTAAATCAGTCTAAAACATAAGCCTAGTATTGTTCAATCTCTAAATCAGTCTAAAACATAAGCCTAGTATTGTTCAATCTCTAAATCAGTCTAAAACATAAGCCTAGTATTGTTCAATCTCTAAATCAGTCTAAAAAATAAGCCTAGTATTGTTCAATCTCTAAATCAGTCTAAAACATAAGCCTAGTATTGTTTTATCTCTAAATGAGTCTAAAACATAAGCCTAGTATTGTTCAATCTCTAAATTAATCTAAAACATAAGCCTAGTATTGTTCAATCTCTAAATTAATCTAAAACATAAGCCTAGTATTGTTCAATCTCTAAATGAGTCTAAAACATAAGCCTAGTATTGTTCAATCTCTAAATGAGTCTAAAACATAAGCCTAGTATTGTTCAATCTCTAAATTAATCTAAAACATAAGCCTAGTATTGTTCAATCTCTAAATGAGTCTAAAACATAAGCCTAGTATTGTTCAATCTCTAAATGAGTCTAAAACATAAGCCTAGTATTGTTCAATCTCTAAATGAGTCTAAAACATAAGCCTAGTATTGTTCAATCTCAAGACTAATCTAGAACATTAACCTTTTTTTGTTCAATCTAAAGACACAGCTACTGCATTAACAAAGAGCTTGTTGATGAAGTCATTGACATGTGTGATGAAGTCATTGACACGTGTGATGAAGTCATTGACACGTGTGATGAAGTGATTGACACGTTTGATGAAATCATTGACACGTTTGATGAAGTGATTGACATGTTTGATGAAGTCATTGACATGTTTGATGAAGTCTTTGACATGTTTGATGAAGTCATTGACATGGTTGATGAAGTCATTGACACGTTTGATGAAGTCATTGACACGTTTGATGAAGTGATTGACATGTTTGATGAAGTCATTGACATGTTTGATGAAGTCTTTGACATGTTTGATGAAGTAATTGACATCTTTGATGAAGTCATTGACATCTTTGATGAATTCGTTGACATGTTTGATGAAGTCATTGACATGTTTGATGAAGTCACTTACATGGTTGAAGAAGTCTTTGACATGTTTGATGAAGTCATTGACATCATTGATGAAGTCTTTGACATGTTTGATGACGTCATTGACATTTTTGATGAAGACATTGACATGTTTCATAGAGTCATTGACATTGCTGATGACGTCATTGACATTTTTGATGAAGTCATTGACATATTTCATAGAGTCATTGACATTGCTGATGAATTCATTGACATGATTGAATAAGTCATTGACATGTTTGATGAAATCATTGACATGTTTGATGAAGTCATTGACATGATTAATGAAGTCATTGACATCTGTGATGAAGTGTTGACATGGTTGATGAAGTCATTGACATGTTTGATAAAGTCATTGACATGTTTGATGAAGTCATTGACATGGTTGATGAAGTTATTGACATGGTTTATGAAGTCATTGACATGTTAAATGAAGTCATTGACATGATTGATAAAGTCATTGAAATGTTTGATGAAGTATTTGACATTTTTAAAGAATTTTTTGACATGTTTGATGAAATCATTGACATGTTGGATGAAGTCATTGACATGTTTGATGAAGTCATTGACATGGTTGATGAAGTCATTGACATGTTTGATGAAGCCCTTGACATATTTGCTGAAGTGTTGACATGGTTCATGAAGTCATTGATATGTTTGATGAAGTCATTGCCATCTTTGAATAAGTCATCGACATGTTTGATGAAGTTATTGACATGTTTGATGAAGTCATTGACATTGTTGATGAAATGAATGACATATTTTATGAAGCCATTGTCAAGGTTGATGAAGTGAATGACATGTTTGATGAAGCCATTATCATGGTTGATGAAGTGAATGACATGTTTGATGAAGTGATTTACATGTTTGATGAAGGTATTGACATTTTTGATGCATGAAAGACATGTTTGATAAATGATTGACATGTTAGATAAATGATTGACATGTTTGATGAAGTAATTTCATGTTCGCTGAAGTGACTGACATATTTGATGAGGTGATTGACACCTGTATGCAGCTTTGAAGACGAGGTGAGTGGCGTTTTAATTATAAAGTTAAAATCTTTCAATAAAAAGAAATTATGTTGCAATTGTTAAACGTTGTAATATCAAAGCAATATTTTTTCTTATGTCTTTTGTAGCTTTAGGACTTAATTTATAAACAAAACTATATGAGGTTGTGTATGATCTTGTTAAGAATTACTTGGGGATGTAGGTGTGGGGGGGGGTGGTTATAGAAAGGGGTGACACAATGAGTTTACCGCACCGGAATGAAATCATGAGTTTACAGCACTGGGATTACACCATGAGTTTACAGCACTGGGATTACACCATGAGTTTATAGCACTGGGATTACACCATGAGTTTACAGCACCGAGATGACACCGTGAGTTTAAGCACCGGTATGACACCATGAGTTTTTTGCACCGGGATGACACCATGTGTTTATTGCACCGGTATGACACCATGTGTTTTTTGCACCGGTATGACACCATGTGTTTATTGCACCGGTATGACACCATGTGTTTATTGCACCGGTATGACACCATGTGTTTATTGCACCGGTATGACACCATGTGTTTATTGCACCGGTATGACACCATGTGTTTATTGCACCGGTATGACACCATGTGTTTATTGCACCGGTATGACACCATGTGTTTATTGCACCGGTATGACACCATGTGTTTATTGCACCGGGTTGACACCATGAGTTTATTGCACCGGGTTGACACTAACCCTAGAGAAGATTCTGCTTTCCTGTACCTTTGATTGCTTAGAATTGTATTAGTAAAGAAGCTATTTCTTATTACCAAGTGCCGTAACTAACATTCTAGCGTAATAGTTGCACTACTTTAAATCAGTGCCGTATGACTGGATCAAGTTCATCTGTTTGGTTACTAACTTAAAACTTATTTTATATATCAATACTTGGTTTAATTAGGTTAATTGTTACTTGTTTATAGTTTAATGGGCTACCTTCCTGGCATGGCTGGGATAACAATATCTCCGAAGAAAAAAAAAAGGATTGCCAGGTGGGGATTTGAGAACCACTGCTATTAACTGAAACGCGACACAGGATACCAACAACTCCACAGAAACTGTCCTTGCTTGTCACTCTTGTTTCCCAAAGCTTACCTACAGGCTTTTGTACCTGTCATACACAGCGGGCACCTCCCCACAGCACCAACTCACACACACACTCACACACACACTCACACACACACACACACCGTACCTCCCCACAAGAACAAACAAAATCGAATCCCCACAAGACGCCACAACTGTGTGTGTGTAAAGTCACGTGCTCATTAACGCAGCTGCCAATGACGATACGTCTAAGGACTGCCACCACCCAGGTGAAAGAGATATTCGTCAGTAGCGTAAACACGATATTAAACGCTGTGTAATTGCTATGATACGGTGGGGGGACAGCATTGGACAAAGCTGGCCAGGATTGTCTTTCAATGATAAAGTGATAATAGCTCTACTTGACACAGTTTTTCAGTGAACAAGTTTTCATAGCAAACACTGGACATAGCTGGTGGAAGTTGTCTGCCCCAGAAGACATTGCATGAAAAGATTCCTTGGTCACTAGGAAGTCAAATGTAAGTTATAGTGACAGTTGACAAGCCATATTTTTTCTAGTTTAGTTTACTACTGTCATATAAGATAAGTGTAAAAAAAACTTAAGTGTAAAAAAACTTATTTTTTTAACACTTAATAGCATTTTAGCGCTGTTACAATAAGGACTGTAATAATTTTAAGGGCTAAAACCTGGGCGCCTTTGGTCATTGGCGTAACTGTAAGTAAGGTAATTTCACTGATTGGTACTCTTGAGTGTTGTGTGTTTTGGGGGTGGGGGCATCAATTTGGGCGTTCATTCCCGGGTGACATTCAGTCAAGATGTACAACTATGTATGGAAATATCACCCCACACCCCACGTTTAAGAATGCACATCGTTTATTGTGGCGGAGAGAATTCTTACCCTAGCATCTAGCTAGTCTTGAACCAATCCCGTGTGACAGAACTGACAGTCAACCTAGTCTTGAACCAATCCCGTGTGACAGAACTGACAGTCAACCTAGTCTTGAACCAATCCCGTGTGACAGAACTGACAGTCAACCTAGTCTTGAACCAAACCCGTGTGACAGAACTGACAGTCAACCTATTCATGAACCAATCCCGTGTGACAGAATTGACAGTCAACCTAGTCTTGAACCAATGACGTGTGACAGAATTGACAGTCAACCTAGTCTTGAACCAATCCCGTGTGACAGAATTGACAGTCAACCTAGTCTTGAACCAATCCTGTGTGGCAGAATTGACAGTCAACCTAGTCTTGAACCAATCCCGTGTGACAGAACTGACAGTCAACCTAGTCTTGAACCAATCCCGTGTGACAGAATTGACAGTCAACCTTGTCTTGAACCAATCCCGTGTGACAGAATTGACAGTCAACCTAGTCTTGAACCAATCCCGTGTGACAGACTTGACAGAAAGTTCATCGGCGAACTTCTGAATTGGCATAGAATCTCTTATGTCATTGGAGAAGGAATTCTTGTCTTGTGCATTTGAAATAAAACATTGTCTTGATATGTGTTTATGCAAACATTACTAGGGTTACGTAGTACAAAATTTGACACTCAACAGTGTTGACACTAGGAAGAATTGTGGAATACTTGAACCAGCCAGCCTAAAAAACCAGGAAGATATCATTAAACCTGGACTTATGGTTAGACAATACCATTCACCGGACGAATTGTCATGCGATACCATTCACCGGACTTATGTTCATACAATACCATTCACTGGAGGTATGGTCAGACGATATCACTAAACCGTGACATATGGTCAGATGATACCATTTAACCGGATGGTATGGTCAGGCGATACCATTCACCGGACTTATGGTCAGACGATACCATTCACCGGACTTATGTTCATACAATATCATTCACCGGACATATGGTCAGACAATACCATTCACCGGACTTATGTTCATACAATACCATTCACCGGACTTATGGTCAGACGATACCATTCACCGGACTTATGGTCAGACGATACCATTCACCGGACTTATGGTCAGACGATACCATTCACCGGACTTATGGTCAGACGATACCATTCTCCGGACTTATGGTCAAACGATACCATTCACCGGACTTATGGTCAGACGATACCATTCACCAGACTTATGGTCAGACGATACCATTCACCGGACTTATGGTCAGACGATACCATTCACCGGACTTATGGTCAGACGATACCATTCACCGGACTTATGGTCAGACGATACCATTTACCGGACTTATGTTCATACAATACCATTCACCCGACTTATGGTCAGACGATACCATTCACCGGACTTATGTTCATACAATACCATTCACCGGACTTATGGTCAGACGATACCATTCACCGGACTTATGTTCATACATTATCATTCACTGGAGGTATGGTCAGACGATATCATTAAACCGTGACATATGGTCAGATGATACCAGTTAACCGGATGGTATGGTCAGGCAATACCATTAGCCGAACTTATGGTCAGACGATACCATTCACCGGACACATGTTCAGACGATACCATTAAATGTGGACGTATGGTCAGACGATACCATTTAATCTTATCTTTGTAATATAAAATGTGCCGTTACTCACATCTCTGTGATCTTTTAGGGGCCATCCATAATTGCACCACGCATCTAGGGTGAAGGGTCACGATTTGATTATAGCTCTATATGAACGTTGCAGTGGGAAGGGAAGCGTGTCTGTTCATATTCTGGCAATGTGTCTGTTCATATTCTGGCAGTGTGTCTGTTCATATTGTGGCAGTGTGTCTATTCATCTTCTGGCATTGTTGCTGCTCACATTCTGATATTGTGTCTGTTCATATTGTGGCAGTGTGTCTATTCATCTTCTGGCATTGTTGCTGCTCACATTCTGATATTGTGTCTGTTCATATTGTGGCAGTGTGTCTATTTATCTTCTGGCATTGTTGCTGCTCACATTCTGATATTGTGTCTGCTCACATCCTGGTAGTGTGTCTGTTCATATCCTGGTATTGTGTCTGTTCATATCCTGGTATTGTGTCTGTTCATATCCTGGTATTGTGTCTGTTCATATCCTGGTATTGTGTCTGTTCATATCCTGGTATTGTGTCTGTTCATATCCTGATATTGTGTCTGTTCATATCCTGGTATTGTGTCTGTTCATATCCTGGTATTGTGTCTGTTCATATCCTGATATTGTGTCTGCTCACATCCTGGTATTGTGTCTGTTCATATCCTAGTATTGTGTCTGTTCATATCCTGGTATTGTGTCTGTTCATATCCTGGTATTGTGTCTGTTCATATCCTGATATTGTATCTGCTCACATCCTGGTATTGTGTCTGTTCATATACTGGTATTGTGTCTGTTCATATCCTGGTATTGTGTCTGTTCATATCCTGGTATTGTGTCTGTTCATATCCTGGTATTGTGTCTGTTCATATCCTGGTATTGTGTCTGTTCATATCCTGGTATTGTGTCTGTTCATATCCTGGTATTGTGTCTGTTCATATCCTGGTATTGTGTCTGTTCATATCCTGGTATTGTGTCTGTTCATATCCTGGTATTGTGTCTGTTCATATCCTAGTATTGTGTCTGTTCATATCCTGGTATTATGTCTGTTCATATCCTGGTATTGTGTCTGTTCATATCCTGGTATTGTGTCTGTTCATATCCTGGTATTGTGTCTGTTCATATCCTGGTATTGTGTCTGTTCATAATCCAAAGTTGTAACTGTCGATATTCTGGCATTTTGATTATTTAAAGGTTTTAAAAATAAAGAGCTATTTACCATTAGCACGCATTTGGGCAGCTGGGGTGTTAGTGACGCACAAGGCGTACGAAGTTTTTTGCTGCCCCCTAAACAGTTAACATGGACCGTTTGAATTATTCCCCACCCCAACACACCTGCTACATTTGTTTGTCCTTCGCACATGCGAAGCTAACCAAGGGAAAATGACCAAAGGAGAATGACCAAGGGAGGATGACCAAGGGAAGATGACCAAGGTAAGATAACCAAAGGAGTATGACCAAGGGAAGATGACCACGCGAAGATGACAAGGGAATATGAACAAGCGAAGATGACCAAGGGAAGATGACCAAGCGAAGATGACCAAGGCAAGATGACCAAGGGAAGATAACCGAAGGAGTATGACCAAGGGAAGATGACCAAGGGTGTATGACCCAGGAAAGATGACCAAGGGAAGATGACCAAAGTTAAATGACCAAGGGAAGATTACCAAGGGTACATGACCAACTCAAATGACCAACGGAAGATGACCAAGGGAAGATGACCAAGGGAAGATGACCAAGGTTAAATGACCAATGGAAACTGACCAAGTGAAGATGACCAATGTTAAATGACCAAGGGAAGATGACCAAGGGAAGATGACCGAGGAGAAATGACTAGGGCTTTGATTTGAGAAGTAACGTTGACTTGAGCTGTATATTGTTTCAAGTGAGGGAGAGTTGCTCAATTCATCAAACTCACTTTCTCGTCCTTGAACATTTGATCCCATTGCAAGACTTAGTCAAGTCAATTCGAAATAGACCAGGATTCAGTACATGACAATCATTTTTGTCTTTATGCGTTCCACGTCAAAGTAGTTTTCAGAACTTTTTTTTTGTCAAAGTCATACCGCATAAAGCATCTCCTGGTTTGAATTTACAGTTTTCATTCTCGTAGAGAAGTTGCCCTCAAAATTAACGAGTCCAGTCCACCCGACGAGCCACGATGGACAGCGCGATTGAAGTGCACGTGCACAAAAACTAATTTTTTTCAAAGTCAACTAGATAATCCGCGCAAAACTGTCCGGTTCATTCTACCTACGCCATAATGGTTCATTCTACCTACGCCGTAATGGTTCATTCTACCTAAGCCGTAATGGTTCATTCTACCTACGCCGTAATGGTTCATTCTACCTACGGCGTAATGGTTCATTCTACCTAAGCCATAATGGTTCATTCTACCTACGGCGTAATGGTTCATTCTACCTACGCCATAATGGTTCATTCTACCTAAGCCGTAATGGTTCATTCTACCTACGCCATAATGGTTCATTCTACCTACGGCGTAATGGTTCATTCTACCTACGCCGTAATGGTTCATTCTACCTACGGCGTAATGGTTCATTCTACCTACGGCGTAATGGTTCATTCTACCTACGCCATAATGGTTCATTCTACCTACGCCGTAATGGTTCATTCTACCTACGCCATAATGGTTCATTCTACCTAAGCCGTAATGGTTCATTCTACCTACGCCATAATGGTTCATTCTACCTACGGCGTAATGGTTCATTCTACCTACGCCATAATGGTTCATTCTACCTACGCCGTAATGGTTCATTCTACCTACGGCGTAATGGTTCATTCTACCTACGCCATAATGGTTCATTCTACCTACGCCATAATGGTTCATTCTACCTAAGCCGTAATGGTTCATTCTACCTACGGCGTAATGGTTCATTCTACCTACGCCATAATGGTTCATTCTACCTAAGCCGTAATGGTTCATTCTACCTACGCCGTAATGGTTCATTCTACCTACGCCATAATGGTTCATTCTACCTAAGCCATAATGGTTCATTCTACCTACGCCATAATGGTTCATTCTACCTAAGCCATAATGGTTCATTCTACCTAAGCCGTAATGGTTCATTCTACCTACGCCATAATGGTTCATTCTACCTACGGCGTAATGGTTCATTCTACCTACGCCATAATGGTTCATTCTACCTAAGCCGTAATGGTTCATTCTACCTACGGCGTAATGGTTCATTCTACCTACGCCATAATGGTTCATTCTACCTACGCCGTAATGGTTCATTCTACCTACGCCATACTGGTTCATTCTACCTACGCCATAATGGTTCATTCTACCTACGCCATAATGGTTCATTCTACCTACGCCATAATGGTTCATTCTACCTACGCCGTAATGGTTCATTCTACCTACGCCATACTGGTTCATTCTACCTACGCCATAATGGTTCATTCTACCTACGCCGTAATGGTTCATTCTACCTACGCCGTAATGGTTCATTCTACCTACGCCATACTGGTTCATTCTACCTACGCCATAATGGTTCATTCTACCTACGCCGTAATGGTTCATTCTACCTACGCCATACTGGTTCATTCTACCTACGCCGTAATGGTTCATTCTACCTACGGCGTAATGGTTCATTCTACCTAAGCCGTAATGGTTCATTCTACCTAAGCCGTAATGGTTCATTCTACCTACGCCGTAATGGTTCATTCTACCTACGCCATAATGGTTCATTCTACCTACGCCGTAATGGTTCATTCTACCTACGCCATAATGGTTCATTCTACCTACGCCGTAATGGTTCATTCTACCTACGCCATAATGGTTCATTCTACCTACGCCATAATGGTTCATTCTACCTACGCCATAATGGTTCATTCTACCTACGCCATAATGGTTCATTCTACCTACGCCGTAATGGTTCATTCTACCTACGCCATAATGGTTCATTCTACCTACGCCATAATGGTTCATTCTACCTACGCCGTAATGGTTCATTCTACGTACGCCATAATGGTTCATTCTCCCTACGACATAATGGTTCATTCTGCATACGCCATAATGGTTCATTCTACCTACGCCGTAATGGTTCATTCTACCTACGCCGTAATGGTTCATTCTACCTACGCCATAATGGTTCATTCTACCTACGCCGTAATGGTTCATTCTCCCTACGACATAATGGTTCATTCTACCTACGCCATAATGGTTCATTCTACCTACGCCGTAATGGTTCATTCTACCTACGCCGTAATGGTTCATTCTACGTACGCCATAATGGTTCATTCTCCCTACGACATAATGGTTCATTCTACCTACGCCGTAATGGTTCATTCTCCCTACGACATAATGGTTCATTCTACCTACGCCGTAATGGTTCATTCTACCTACGCCATAATGGTTCATTCTACCTAAGCCGTAATGGTTCATTCTACCTAAGCCGTAATGGTTCATTCTACCTACGCCGTAATGGTTCATTCTACCTAAGCCGTAATGGTTCATTCTACCTACGCCGTAATGGTTCATTCTACCTACGCCGTAATGGTTCATTCTACCTACGCCATAATGGTTCATTCTGCATACGCCGTAATGGTTCATTCTACCTACGTCATAATGGTTCATTCTACTTAAGCCGTAATGGTTCATTCTACCTACGCCGTAATGGTTCATTCTACCTACGCCATAATGGTTCATTCTACCTACGCCATAATGGTTCATTCTCCCTACGCCATACTGGTTCATTCTACCTACGCCATAATGGTTCATTCTCCCTACGCCATACTGGTTCATTCTACCTACGCCATAATGGTTCATTCTACCTACGCCATAATGGTTCATTCTCCCTACGCCATAATGGTTCATTCTACCTACGCCATAATGGTTCATTCTACCTACGCCGTAATGGTTCATTCTACCTACGCCATAATGGTTCATTCTACCTACGCCGTAATGGTTCATTCTACCTACGCCATAATGGTTCATTCTACCTACGCCATAATGGTTCATTCTACCTACGCCATAATGGTTCATTCTACCTACGCCATAATGGTTCATTCTACCTACGCCATAATGGTTCATTCTACCTACGCCATAATGGTTCATTCTACCTACGCCATAATGGTTCATTCTACCTACGCCATAATGGTTCATTCTACCTACGCCATAATGGTTCATTCTACCTACGCCATAATGGTTCATTCTACCTACGCCATAATGGTTCATTCTACCTACGCCATAATGGTTCATTCTACCTACGCCATAATGGTTCATTCTACCTACGCCATAATGGTTCATTCTACCTACGCCATAATGGTTCATTCTACCTACGCCATAATGGTTCATTCTACCTACGCCATAATGGTTCATTCTACCTACGCCATAATGGTTCATTCTACCTACGCCATAATGGTTCATTCTACCTACGCCATAATGGTTCATTCTACCTACGCCATAATGGTTCATTCTACCTACGCCATAATGGTTCATTCTACCTACGCCATAATGGTTCATTCTACCTACGCCATAATGGTTCATTCTACCTACGCCATAATGGTTCATTCTACCTACGCCATAATGGTTCATTCTACCTACGCCATAATGGTTCATTCTACCTACGCCATAATGGTTCATTCTACCTACGCCATAATGGTTCATTCTACCTACGCCATAATGGTTCATTCTACCTACGCCATAATGGTTCATTCTACCTACGCCATAATGGTTCATTCTACCTACGCCATAATGGTTCATTCTACCTACGCCATAATGGTTCATTCTACCTACGCCATAATGGTTCATTCTACCTACGCCATAATGGTTCATTCTACCTACGCCATAATGGTTCATTCTACCTACGCCATAATGGTTCATTCTACCTACGCCATAATGGTTCATTCTACCTACGCCGTAATGGTTCATTCTACCTACGCCATAATGGTTCATTCTACCTACGCCGTAATGGTTCATTCTACCTACGCCATAATGGTTCATTCTACCTACGCCATAATGGTTCATTCTGCATACGCCGTAATGGTTCATTCTACCTACGTCATAATGGTTCATTCTACTTAAGCCGTAATGGTTCGTTCTACCTACGCCGTAATGGTTCATTCTACCTACGCCATAATGGTTCATTCTACCTACGCCATAATGGTTCATTCTTCCTACGCCATAATGGTTCATTCTACCTACGCCATAATGGTTCATTCTGCATACGCCGTAATGGTTCATTCTACCTACGCCATAATGGTTCATTCTACCTACGCCATAATAGTTCATTCTACCAACGCCATAATGGTTCATTCTACCTACGCCATAATGGTTCATTCTACCTACGCCGTAATGGTTCATTCTACGTACGCCATAATGGTTCATTCTCCCTACGACATAATGGTTCATTCTACCTACGCCATAATGGTTCATTCTACCTACGCCGTAATGGTTCATTCTACCTACGCCGTAATGGTTCATTCTACCTACGCCATAATGGTTCATTCTACCTACGCCATAATGGTTCATTCTACCTACGCCGTAATGGTTCATTCTACCTACGCCATAATGGTTCATTCTACCTACGCCATAATGGTTCATTCTACCTACGCCATAATGGTTCATTCTACCTACGCCATAATGGTTCATTCTACCTACGCCATAATGGTTCATTCTACCTACGCCATAATGGTTCATTCTACCTACGCCATAATGGTTCATTCTACCTACGCCGTAATGGTTCATTCTACCTACGCCATAATGGTTCATTCTACCTACGCCGTAATGGTTCATTCTACCTACGCCATAATGGTTCATTCTACCTACGCCGTAATGGTTCATTCTACCTACGCCATAATGGTTCATTCTACCTACGCCGTAATGGTTCATTCTACCTACGCCATAATGGTTCATTCTACCTACGCCGTAATGGTTCATTCTACCTACGCCATACTGGTTCATTCTACCTACGCCGTAATGGTTCATTCTACCTACGCCATAAAGGTTCATTCTAACTACGCCGTAATGGTTCATTCTACCTATGCCGAAAGGGTTCATTTTTCCTACGCCATAATGGTTCATTCTACCTATACCATAATGGTTCATTCTACCTACGCCGTAATGGTTCGTTCTACCCATGCTGTAAGGTTCGTTCTACGTACGGCCTAAGGGTTCGTTCGAATGGATTCCTGACCGAAAGAGACCCGCGTGAATATCTCCATGCAAAGGTAGCACTTAAAAGGTTTCAATGATCTGTACATTTCTCCATTCCAAAGATAGCACTTAGAAGGGGTTGATGTCCCGTACATCTCTCCATGCCAAAGGTAGTCCTTTGAAGGAGCCAATGTCATGTGCATTTGCTAACACAAACGGTGGCACTTAGAAGGAGTCAGTGTCCTGTACATTTCTCCATTCCAAAGGTAGCACTTAGAAAGTGTCGATGCCCCGTGCATCTTTCCATGCAAAAGTTAGCACTTAGAAGGATTCAGTGTCTAGTACATTCCTACACGCCAATGGAAGCACTTAAAAGGGGTCAATATCCCGTACATTTCTCCAGGCTAATGGTAGCACTCAGAAGGGCTCAATATCCTGTGATAAATCTCCCAAATCGGGAGCAATAAAGTCTTTGCTCTGCTTAGAAGTTCAAATGTTCAAAGAGGTTCTTTGGATTCAGCATGTTTAGAACGTCTGTATTTAATGTTTGGGCTAACATCCCTGTTTATAAATGTTGTCTGTCTGCCCTTTAAATCAAGCCCGTTTATTAGTGTGGTCCGACACTACACAACAACATGCCCGTCTTTTAATCTAGTAATGTCTGTCAAGTGTTATGTTTATATACAATTCTATAAAGTTGAAATAGTTTGATTTTTTTTCTTCATGGTTTACGCCATAAAATTGTAGAGTGAGTTATGTCTTTGCGTGTATGGCAGTCTTGAAGAAACTTGAATGCTGTTGAGCTGCTTTGAAATATTCATAAAATTTACGACATTTAAAGAACAACAACCCTGTCTGCAGATATAGTAGAATAAGTTTGCTATGTCAGACCGTTGCAGAGTTAAAGAATGATTGTCCGCTCTTTCTTGTGGGCCACGCTACCGTCTTACGTCTCCGTGCTGTGTTTGTGTCTGCGCCATGACTTATATCCTTGTGTTTGTCTTGAAGCAGGGGCGATCAATTCAACATAACACATGACAACAAACCAAGGAGATTAATATAGAATGTCACAAAAGGTCATCGCGACCGCTTCAACCCAGTTCTTAAATCCACTCTCTCAGGCCTCCGTGAAATATTAGACAGGTCCCCTTCAACAAAAACAGGCACACTAGACTTTGCCCCCCCCCCCCAAAAAAAACCCAACAACAACAACACAAAAAAAACAACTAAAATTTTAAAATAGACACCCCCCAACTCACACACACACATTTATAACTACGATTGCATACTCTCTGCACCAACACAAAGGCCATAATGTCATTGCGTAAGTAAACGCATTCTTGCAAAATTAAAGAAATGTTTTCGAAAAAATATCTCATGAAAGATATTTTATCGAACATTTGACTTATGAAAACATTTTGCACAAGTACTCTGCTTGTCAGGGGAAAATGTGAGGGTAGCTTATAATCAGGGCTGCCATCTCAAACATATGTGAGGGTAGCTTATAATCAGGGCTGCCATCTCAAACATATGTGAGGGTAGCTTATAATCAGGGCTGCCATCTCAAACATATGACCGATATTGTAAACTAACCCATTTTGTACAGTCGAGCGAGATCGTTCACGGATATACTTAAAAACTACAAAATAATTTAATACGATTTTTAAAAGAAAAATCAAATCCTTGTAAGACAATACTATGTCTATGAAAGGTTCCATTAACTATACAAGAGATCACTTAAACATGAGGCCAGTTGAGAAATTTTCTTTATTACTTATTATATTGCTTTGTCAAAAATAGTGAGTGACTCCCAAATATCAAAATTCACGTGTATCACCAACATGGGTTCATGAATGACCACATATGGAAATAAAAATCAGAAAAACTTTAGGTCAACGATTCTAACATAATTTAGATGGCTGCGATATTTTTCAATATTTGAATACAGCGTGGATACAATTCATCCGACTAAACTTATCAGAATCTTTTAGTCCTAATCACAATGTCCAACTCTCCTGGTTCGAATCTCCATGTCCAACCTTCCTGGTCCGAATTTCTTTGTCCAACCCTCTTGGTTCAAAACTCCTTATCCAACTCTCTTGGTTCAAATCTCATTGTCCAACTCTCGTGATTCAAATCTCCTTTTCCAACTCTCTTGGTTCAAATCTCAGTGTCTAACTCTCTTGGTTCAAATCTCTGTGTCCAACTCTCTTGCTTCAAATCTCCTTTTCCAACTCTCCTGGTCCAAATCTCTTCTCCTTGTTCAAATCTCATAGTCCAACTCTCTTGGTTGAAATTTCCTGGTTTAAATCTCCTTGTCCCACCTTCCTGGTCCAAATTTCTTTGTCCAACCCTCTTGGTTCAAATCTCCTTTTCAAACTCTCTTGGTTCAAATCTCAGTGTCTAACTCTCTTGGTTCAAATCTCAGTGTCCAACTCTCTTGGTTCAAATCTCCTTTTACAACTCTCTGGTTCAAATCTCAGTGTCTAACTCTCTTGATTCAAATCTCCTTTTCCAACTCTCTTGGTTCAAATCTTCTTTTCCAACTCTCTTGGTTCAAATCTCCTTTTCAAACTCTCTTGGTTCAAATCTCAGTGTCTAACTCTCTTGGTTCAAATCTCAGTGTCTAACTCTCTTGGTTCAAATCTCAGTGTCCAACTCTCTTGATTCAAATCTCCTTTTCCAACTCTCTTGGTTCAAATCTCAGTGTCTAACTCTCTTGGTTCAAATCTCCTTTTCCAACTCTCTTGGTTCAAATCTCAGTGTCCAACTCTCTTGATTCAAATCTCCCTTTCCAACTTTCTTGGTTCAAATCTCAGTGTCTAACTCTCTTGATTCAAATCTCAGTGTCCAACTCTCTTGGTTCAAATCTCCTTTTCCAACTCTCCTGGTCCAAATCTCTTCTCCTTGTTCAAATCTCATAGTCCAACTCTCTTGGTTCAAATCTCCTGGTTTAAATCTCCTTGTCCAACTCTCCTGGTACAAATCTGTTTGTTCACATCTCCTGGTTCAAATCTCATTGTCCAACTCTCATTGTCCAATTCTCCTAGTACAAATCTCCTACTACAAATCTCCTGGTTCAAATATCCTGGTCCAACTCTCCTGGTACAAATCTCCTAGTTCAAATCTCCTTGTCCAACTGTCTTTGTTCAAATCTCAGTGTCCAACTCTGTTGGTTTAAATCTCCTTGTCCAACTCTCCTGGTCCAACTCTCGTTGTCCAACTCTCCTGGTCCAAATCTCCTGGTCCAACTCTCGTTGTCCAACTCTCCTGGTCCAAGCCTCCTCATATCTCTATCCTACGCCTAATCGAAATATTAAAAACGCTAAAAATATATATTTTTTTAAAATCAAGAAGCTAGAGACATGTGGCATCATAGAAGATCATATAGCTCTCATGTGGCATCATAGAAGATCATATAGCTCTCATGTGGCATCATAGAAGATCATATTGCTCTCATGTGGCATCATAGAAGATCATATTGCTCTCATGTGGCATCATAGAAGATCATATCGCTCTCATGTGGCATCATAGAAGATCATATTGCTCTCATGTGGCATCATAGAAGATCATATTGCTCTCATGTGGCATCATAGAAGATCATATTGCTCTCATGTGGCATCATAGAAGATCATATTGCTCTCATGTGGCATCATAGAAGAGCATATCACTCTTATGTGGCATCATATAAGATCATATCACTCTTATGTGGCATCATATAAGATCATATCACTCTTATGTGGCATCATATAAGATCATATCACTCTTATGTGGCATCATATAAGATCATATAACTCTCATGTGGCATCATAGAAGATCATATCGCTCTCATGTGGCATCATAGAAGATCATATCGCTCTCATGTGGCATCATAGAAGATCATATCGCTCTCATGTGGCATCATAGAAGATCATATCGCTCTCATGTGGCATCATAGAAGATCATATTGCTCTCATGTGGCATCATAGAAGATCATATCGCTCTCATGTGGCATCATAGAAGATCATATCGCTCTCATGTGGCATCATAGAAGATCATATCGCTCTCATGTGGCATCATAGAAGATCATATCGCTCTCATGTGGCATCATAGAAGATCATCTCGCTCTCATGTGGCATCATAGAAGATCATATCGCTCTCATGTGGTATCATAGAAGATCATATCGCTCTCATGTGGCATCATAGAAGATCATATAGCTCTCATGTTGCATCATAGAAGATCATATCGCTCTCATGTGTTATCATAGAAGATCATATCGCTCTCATGTGGTATCATAGAAGATCATATAGCTCTCATGTGGTATCATAGAAGATCATATCGCTCTCATGTGGTATCATAGAAGATCATATCGCTCTCATGTGGTATCATAGAAGATCATATCGCTCTCATGTGGTATCATAGAAGATCATATCGCTCTCATGTGGCATCATAGAAGATCATTTTGCTCTCATGTGGCATCATAGAAGATCATATCGCTCTCATGTGGCATCATAGAAGATCATATCGCTCTTACGTGGTATCATAGAAGATCATATCGCTCTCATGTGGCATCATAGAAGATCATCTCGCTCTCATGTGGTATCATAGAAGATCATATCGCTCTCATGTGGTATCATAGAAGATCATATCGCTCTCATGTGGCATCATAGAAGATCATATCGCTCTTATGTGGTATCATAGAAGATCATATCGCTCTCATGTGGTATCATAGAAGATCATCTCGCTCTCATGTGGTATCATAGAAGATCATATCGCTCTCATGTGGTATCATAGAAGATCATATCGCTCTCATGTGGCATCATAGAAGATCATATTGCTCTCATGTGGCATCATAGAAGATCATATCGCTCTCATGTGGCATCATGGAAGATCATATCGCTCTCATGTGGTATCATAGAAGATCATATCGCTCTCATGTGGTATAATAGAAGATCATATCGCTCTCATGTGGCATCATAGAAGATCATATAGCTCTCATGTGGCATCATAGAAGATCATATCGCTCTCATGTGGCATCATAGAAGATCATATCGCTCTCATGTACCATCATAGAAGATCATATCGCTCTCATGTGGTATCATAGAAGATCATATCGCTCTGATGTGGCATCATAGAAGATCATCTCGCTCTCATGTGGCATCATAGAAGATCATATCGCTCTCATGTGGTATCATAGAAGATCATATCGCTCTCATGTGGCATCATAGAAGATCATATAGCTCTCATGTGGCATCATAGAAGATCATATCGCTCTCATGTGGCATCATAGAAGATCATCTCGCTCTCATGTGGCATCATAGAAGATCATATCGCTCTCATGTGGTATCATAGAAGATCATATCGCTCTCATGTGGCATCATAGAAGATCATATAGCTCTCATGTTGCATCATAGAAGATCATATCGCTCTCATGTGTTATCATAGAAGATCATATCGCTCTCATGTGGTATCATAGAAGATCATATAGCTCTCATGTGGTATCATAGAAGATCATATCGCTCTCATGTGGTATCATAGAAGATCATATCGCTCTCATGTGGTATCATAGAAGATCATATCGCTCTCATGTGGTATCATAGAAGATCATATCGCTCTCATGTGGCATCATAGAAGATCATTTTGCTCTCATGTGGCATCATAGAAGATCATATCGCTCTCATGTGGCATCATAGAAGATCATATCGCTCTTACGTGGTATCATAGAAGATCATATCGCTCTCATGTGGCATCATAGAAGATCATCTCGCTCTCATGTGGTATCATAGAAGATCATATCGCTCTCATGTGGTATCATAGAAGATCATATCGCTCTCATGTGGCATCATAGAAGATCATATCGCTCTTATGTGGTATCATAGAAGATCATATCGCTCTCATGTGGTATCATAGAAGATCATCTCGCTCTCATGTGGTATCATAGAAGATCATATCGCTCTCATGTGGTATCATAGAAGATCATATAGCTCTCATGTGGTATCATAGAAGATCATATCGCTCTCATGTGGTATCATAGAAGATCATATCGCTCTTATGTGGTATCATAGAAGATCATATCGCTCTTATGTGGTATCATAGAAGATCATATAGCTCTCATGTGGTATCATAGAAGATCATGTCGCTCTCATGTGGTATCATAGAAGATAATATTGCTCTCATGTGGTATCATAGAAGATAATATCACTCTCATGTGGTATCATAGAAGATCATATCGCTCTCATGTGGTATCATAGAAGATAATATTGCTCTCATGTGGTATCATAGAAGATCATGTCGCTCTCATGTGGTATCATAGAAGATAATATTGCTCTCATGTGGTATCATAGAAGATAATATCGCTCTCATGTGGTATCATAGAAGATAATATTGCTCTCATGTGGTATCATAGAAGATCATGTCGCTCGCAAGGCAATCAAACAGAGGGGGCTGGGTGTTTACAAAAAAAAAAGGAAAAATTCTTCTGAGATTGATTGTTTGTTTTAGGCCCCCAAAACTTCCATGATTTTACGAGAATGTGAGGAGCATTAAAACACCATAGGTTACTGTGAACATGAAACTATTAAGCCACGCCGACATAGTTGATATCATAGATACCATCATATATATATCATCATAGACAACGACATAGTTAACATCATAGATACCATGATAGACACCATCATAGACCACTGAAATACAGGGGCGTGAAGGTCACAAACATCAGGGGAAATTATTAAAATTATTCATCACCGTCGGTTGTCTGTCCCTGTAAGATTATGGTGCTACAATAACTGTGACCAATTCAAGAGTGGTCTATTTTTGTGCTAGTTCAGAAGTTCAAAGTATAACATTCATAAGTTAAGTATGGTTGGCTTGGGGGGGGGGAGGTTGGAGGGGACATAAAATAGTTCATTTATCACGGGGTGAGGTCATGTCTCACTACTGGTCTGTTGGTCACTTTCTCCCATCAGGGTGCCGGACACATCNGTGCTAGTTCAGAAGTTCAAAGTATAACATTCATAAGTTAAGTATGGTTGGCTTGGGGGGGGGGGGAGGTTGGAGGGGACATAAAATAGTTCATTTATCACGGGGTGAGGTCATGTCTCACTACTGGTCTGTAGGTCACTTTCTCCCATCAGGGTGCCGGACACATCCTTCGATTTGCTTGTCGTTCACATCATAAGGTCATGTCATTTGCAAAAATAAATAAATATCAATATTAAAAGTGGATTCAAACATCTAGATTCTAGAACGTCCCTCTAGAAAGATTGGTGTGAACCATGAGCACCCACAGGGGGGGGGCAAGGGGGGCACTTGCCCCCCACCCCCCTGGATTGATTGGATAAAATTTTTTTAGACAAAAATAGACACAAATTTATTAAAGTAAAGAGAAAATAAAGAGAAAGTAACTAAGCTGATGTCCTGTCCGTTCGTTAACCATACAAATACGCTACAGTAAATTAAAACTACATTAAAACATTACTAAAATTTTTTTTAGCCCCTCTAGACAGGTAATCGATATCCCCCGCCCCCCCCCCCTAGAAAGTTTTCTGCGGGCGCCCATGGTGTGAACTATTTTACTCAAGTTAAAGTTGTACCAACTCTGTCAATGACATCATCAAGATTCTTCTTTCTGATAATATTTTCATTAAAAATCAATCAAATTTGTTGAATTGATTCAATAAAAGACATGGGTTTTTTTTTCGTTTCAAGAGTAATTTTTACTGACCTGGTATTGAAATAACAACCTGCTTGATACATGCAGATGTGACTTGAGATGTTCAGTTAAAAATTCTTGTCTGTATCCGAGCAGCTATGGTCAAGTGAACATCACCCATTAAAATGTATTGGACAAATACTGTACGAGAATAGACAACATAAACCCTTGAAATGTGTGTTCAAACGAATCGTAACACTTTATTTTAATTTCGAGTGGCTCATTTCTTCTCGTTCCTGATTTTTTTTTTTTTTTGCCAGCCTAATGTACTTGTTAAGGTACACAATTTGAAGAAGAACCATGCACATCTGATTTCACCATGTAAATCTGACATCACCATGTACATCGGACCTCACCATGTAATCTGACCTCACCATGTACATATGACCTCATCATGCACATCTGATTTTACCATGTACATCTGACCTACCATGTACATCTGACCTCACCATGTACATCTGACCTCACCATGTACATCTGACCTAGAGACCGACTAAAAGTGATTTTTTTTTATTTCGGCTGAAACCGAAACCAGACCCGAAAGTAAAACATAACTCACTTTAGAGCACTCGGCCACCCAGCAACCCACCATAGTAAAATCTAGTCTCATAATAGTGCTTCCCTGCATTAACCATAGAAGTCTGAATTAATTTTCTGTTTGTGTGGTCTAAAATTACAGCAAGCTGTATTGGAAGAAGGGAAGAGAAGGGGTGGAACGAAACTGGGGTATTACAGCTGTACAGATGTTGGGTGACTTCTAAAAATAGATTTCGAATGCAACTTTCTAGATCTTACAGGATATGTAAAAAATCTAACGCCGCTGAGCGGATCAGTTGAGAGATTGCATTAAACACATTCGTAGTCTTGAAAAGAGAGCGCTCATTCCACGCCGATGATAACATTAATATCATCCACGCAAGGTGCACATCCGTCAATGCAGCTCCATTTAAATGCCAGAGTTCACTGGACAATGGGACATCCACATTGAAACGTACGCAAATGAAAAACATATTTTATACCCCTTCCGCACCCTGCCAATGTAAGGGGCGGTCCATAATTTACTTACGCCCTTAAGAGCCGTACGACAACAAGGGGGAGGGGTGGTCCCAAGAATATTGCTACATTTAGACATACACTCTATAATTGTTATCCTGACAGTCTCTTATATAGCCATCTGGCCCCTACCCAGATGACGTCATTATTTCGTTTGTCGACCAACCACCTCCATCCTCATTGGTGGGTGAAAATATTTGTGTAACCGGGTTCCTTTCAATCGCATGACTGACCGGTCTCGGCGCAGAAACGTAAATGACATCTCAAAATCTTACAATGTTCGCCAAAATCGTAAGAGTAGACATTATGTCTTCTACATAGGCCTACTACATAATTATAACACCAAACAGTGATACGTGCACACGTGTGATATTTTGTCAATGACAATGCTTATCAGCATGATGATGATGATAATGATGATGATGATGATGATGATGATGATGATGATGATGATGATGATGATGATGATGATGATGATGATGATGATGATGATGATGATGATGATGATGATGATGATGATGATGATGATGATGATGATGATGATGATGATGATGATGATGATGATGATGATGATGATGATGATGATTTTCAATGAATGAATGAATTTTATAAGATTAAGCTTCCTTAATATTATTTTTTTTTAGACAAACGTGTTCTTTAAAAAAAAAAAAATTAATGGATTTGTCAATATTCCAAATGATTTTTTTTTTTTTGCCACAATACTATTCACCTGTGTCTATGACATTTGTGTCAATATTAAAGATGAATCAAAATGTATGTCACAAATCAACAAATTGTATATACCCAGGTTTCCCAAATTGTGTCCCCAAAAACATTCAAATAAAAATTTAAATAAATATTAGCATTCCCGAAGTTTTAGCTCAACGAAAATATTAACCTTCGGCTAATCGAAACTGTACTTTTGGACATATTAGAACAAGCAGGTCATCATGCAGTTGTGAGCAAGGTTCTCAGAGGTTTATGCATATGTCAGCAAGACTTTCAGCAATAATGAATGTCGTATTGCCGGGCGACAGATATATAGAATCTGACTTTTGACAGGCGACCGAAACCCTTAATCACTTTCGGCCAGAAGGCCAAAATTCTGAAACACTTTCGGCCGAAACCTAAAATAACCCGAATATTAACCTTTATGTTTCGGCCCTAAACCGAAACCACACTGAAAGTGATGAAATGGCAACTTTCGGCGCCGAAACACACCATCCCTTTATCTAAGCCTAGATCTGCACTGGAGACGTTATGTACTCTCGTTACTCCTCTGTCATTAGGCATTCTCTATTAGCGCCCTGACCAGCGTAGCGAACTATTTTTTTAATTCTGCTACCAGCGTGGCATCGTGATATAGACTGTACAATTCATATATAGACTGTACAATTCATATATAGACTGTACAATTCATATATAGACTGTACAATTCAGATATAGACTGTACAATTCATATATAGTCTGTACAATTCATATACAGACTGTACGATTCATATATAGACTGTACGATTCAGATATAGACTATATGTTTCATATATAGACTGTACGATTCAGATATAGACTGTACGATTCAGATATAGACTGTACAATTCAGATATAGACTGTACGATTCATATATAGACTGTACGATTCAGATATAGACTGTACGATTCAGATATAGACTGTACAATTCAGATATAGACTGTACGATTCAGATATTGACTGTACAATTCAGATATAGACTGTACGATTCAAATATAGACTGTACGATTCAGATATAGACTGTACAATTCAGATATAGACTGTACAATTAAGATATAGACTGTACAATTCAGAAATAGACTGTACGATTCATATAGAGACTGTACGATTCAGATATAGACTGTACAATTCAGATATAGACTGTACAATTCATATATAGACTGTACGATTCAGATATAGACTGTAAAATTCATATATAGACTGTACAATTCATATATAGACTGTACAATTCATATATTGACTGTACAATTCAGATATAGACTGTACAATTCAGATATAGACTGAACAATTCAGATATAGACTGTACGATTCAGATATAGACTGTACAATTCATATATATACTGTACGATTCAGATATAGACTGTACAATTCATATATAGACTGTTCAATTCATATATAGACTGTACAATTCAGATATAGACTGTACAATTCAGAAATAGACTGTAAAATTCATATATAGACTGTACGATTCAGATGAAGACTGTACAATTCAGATATAGACTGTACGATTCATATATAGACTGTACAATTCATATATAGACTGTACGATTTAGATATAGACTGTACGATTCATATATAGACTGTACAATTCATATATAGACTGTACAATTCATATATAGACTGTACAATTCATATATAGATTGTACAATTCATATACAGAATGTACAATTCAGATATAGACTGTACAATTCAGATATAGACTGTACAATTCAGATATAGACTGTACAATTCATATATAGACTGTACAATTCATATATAGACTGTACAATTCATATATAGACTGTACAATTCATATATAGACTGTACAATTCATATATAGACTGTACAAATTCAGATATAGACTGTACAATTCAGATATAGACTTTACAATTCATATATAGACTGTACGATTCATATATAGACTGTACAATTCAGATATAGACTGTATAATTTAGATATAGACTGTACGATTCATATATAGACTGTACAATTCAGATAAAGACTGTACGATTCATATATAGACTGTACAATTCATATATAGACTGTACAATTCAGACATAGACTGTACAATTCATATATAGACTGTACAATTCATATATAGACTGTTCGAATCATATATAGACTGTACAATTCATATATAGACTCTACGATTCATATATAGACTGTACAATTCATATATAGACTGTACAATTCAGACATAGACTGTACGATTCATATATAGACTGTACAATTCAGATATAGACTGTACAATTCAGATATAGACTGTACGATTCAGATATAGACTGTACAATTCAGATATAGACTGTACAATTCAGATATAGACTGTACAATTCAGATATAGACTGTGCGATTCAGATATAAACTGTACGATTGAGATATAGACTGTACGATTCAGATATAGACTGTACGATTCATATATAGACTGTACGATTCAGATATAGACTGTACAATTCATGGTTGGTACATAATCTCAATCCATATTCATCTTTTTGTTGGTCCATATATTTTCAGGAGAACTTTAATCTCACATGTGTTTGATAGGTTTTCTGTCATTTTTCTTAGGGTCTAAGTTTCATTTGAGTATGTCACAACTGGTGCGATTAAAGTTTCATAAAAATTCTCTTTGTTTTTCTTGTAATGTTTTTTTTCCTTCTTTTGAGAAATTTATGACTGCAGAAGTATGCCCTGTTACCGGCTGATGTGCTTCCTTAACTTTTGTTAGTAATTCGTTCTATCCTTTAATAAGGACCGCTACCAATAGATAAAGGTAATTATATTCATATGTAATATTTGATATGTAAGTGTTACTATTATAATCCAGGCAATATGCTATATAGTGACCCGTACACAGTGATATCGTAAGCCGTGACACCCTACACAGTGACACCGTACATATTGACACACTGCATATTGACACAGTACACATTGACAACGTACACACCGTACACAGTGAATCGTACATTGACATCGTACACATTGACACCATATACATTGACACCGTACACATTGACACCGTACACAGTGACACCGTACACATTGATACCGTACACAGGGACGCCTTACACATTGACACCCTACACATTGACACCATACACATTGACACCGTACACAGTGACACCGTACAATGACATTGCACACAGTAACCGTAGGAAGGATGGAAGTATCTTTCGGCCCACCCTGTACTGCACCTTTTCACATCTATGGAGGGGTGGCATTTTCGTCTAACTGCTGTCTGCGAAAATAAACTTGGACTAGCCCTACCGACGCCACTGACTGTTACATAGTAACATAGTATCACAGTATCATGGTAGCACAGTAACATAGTAGCACAGTATCATGGTAGCACAGTAACATAGTAGCACAGTAACATAGTAGCACAGTAACATAGTAGCACAGTATCATAGTAGCATAGTGACATAGTAGCACAGTAACATAGTAGCACAGTAGCATAGTTGCACAGTATCATAGTAGCACATTAACATAGTAGCACAGTAACATGTAGCGCAGTAACATAGTAGCACAGTAACAAAGTAACACAGTAACATAGTAGCAAAGTAACATAGTAGCACAGTAACATAGTAGCACAGTATCATAGTAGTACATTAACATAGTAGCACAGTAACAAAGTAGCACAGTAACATAGTAGCACAGTAACATAGTAGCGCATCAACGTAGTAGCACAGTAACATAGTAGCACAGTAACAAAGTAGCACAGTAACATAGTAGCACAGTAACATAGTAGCACAGTAACAAAGTAGCACAGTAACATAGTAGCACAGTAACATAGTAGCACAGTAACATAGTAGCACAGTAACATAGTAGCACAGTAACATAGTAGCACAGTAACATAGTAGCACAGTTAAATAGTAGCACAGTAACAAAGTAGCACAGTAACATAGTAGCACAGTAACATAGTAGCACGGTAACTTAGTAGCACAGTAACATAGTAGCACAGTTACAAAGTAGCACAGTAACATAGTTGCACAGTAACGTAGTAGCACAGTAACATAGTAGCACTGTAACAAGGTAGCACAGTAACATAGTAGCACAGTAACATATTAGCACAGTAACAATGTAGCACAGTAACATAGTAGCACAGTAACAAAGTAGCACAGTAACATAGTAGCACAGTAACATAGAAGCACAGTAACATAGTAGTACAGTAATATAGTAGCACAGTAACAAAGTAGCACAGTAACATAGTAGCACAGTAACATAGTAGCACGGTAACATAGTAGCACAGTAACATTGTAGCACAGTAACAAAGTAGCACAGTAACATAGTAGCACAGTAACGTAGTAGCACAGTAACATAGTAGCACAGTAACATAGTAGCACAGTAACATAGTAGCACAGTAACATAGTAGCACAGTAACAAAGTAGCACAGTAACATAGTAGCACAGTAACATAGTAGCACAGTAACAAAGTAGCACAGTAACATAGTAGCACAGTAACATAGTAGCACAGTAACATAGTAGCACAGTAACATAGTAGCACAGTAACATAGTAGCACAGTAACATAATAGCACAGTAACATAGTAGCACACTAACATAGTAGCTCAGTAACATAGTAGCACAGTAACATAGTACCACAGTATCATGGTGAGACAGTACCATAGACAGTTGCACGTATCATAGCGACGCAGTATCACAGACAGTAGCACAGTCAGTACCCCAGTAACATTGCAATAACATTGTACAGTCATGCTCTTATCTTTGATGGTGGTGGGGGGGGGGATCATATGTGACCTTGCGGTTGTGGGGCCAAGGACTGACCCCCTGACACCAATCTAAGATGCTATGTTCCAAACTGTGTTTTGTTCTAGCTTTGTTTAGGTCGTTAAACTCTACAATAAGATGCAGCTCTACAAGATTGCGTTATTACTTATTTAGTTAGGTGCTTATGGATTGAAACTCACAATTTTAAAAAATAAATAATTGTTGTTACTTATGTTAGTAGTATAGCCCCCACAAACAAACCATTCTCGGTTCACATGAAATTTCGGGGATCATCAGTCATTTGATTTGTAGGATATCTATCCTAGAATGAATAATATTAATGTCTTTTTTTAAAAGGGAAACTTGGGCGCCAGTTGGAAACGACGCCTCCTGAGGACCAGTTTGGGGCGGAAAAGCAAAGGCGTAGTTAAGGTGTTTGGCGCCCGGGTGGCAAGATTCACTTGAAAAAACCTCCTTTACTTTTTTCAACTCTCAAACCCTTCACTTTCATCACTAAAACAATATTAAAGCATATTTTGGCGCCCCTAACTAGTCTGGCGCCAATGCTACATATTTCTCTCCGCACCCCCTTAGCTACGTCTCTGCGGAAAAAAGGGGTTGGGGCGCTGCTAACAGACACAAGTAGGTCACATCAGTTGGAGAGTTTAGTTTCCCACCCGTTTCATGTTTTTAAACACCGCCCCATCCCATTCCCTGGTGGTTTAGGCCCATTCCCTGGTGGTTTAGGCCCATTCCCTGGTGGTTTAGGCCCATTCCCTCGTGGTTTAGGCCCATTCCCTGGTGGTTTAGGCCCATTCCCTGGTGGTTTAGGCCCATTCCCTGGTGGTTTAGGCCCATTCCCTGGTGGTTTAGGCCCATTCCCTGATGGTTTAGGCTCATTCCCTGGTGGTTTAGGCCCATTCCCTGGTGGTTTAGGCCCATTCCCTGGTGGTTTAGGCCCATTCCCTGGTGGTTTAGGCCCATTCCCTGGTGGTTTAGGCCCATTTCAACTTACGTTTCTGGTTTGCGCCCCTCCCTCCAACTGCCCCCCCCCCTGCATTTCATATACCCATATACATGCTGAGCTTGCTTTACAAAAAAGTCAAATCCGTGATTGAATTTCCAACTGCGACTCTATAACACATTGTACGGACCTTCCTGAAGGAGCGCCACAAATAACTTATTTACTCTTTTATCTGGCTGTGTAATTGCCCCAAATGTCGAACTGTAAGATTAGCATGTCTAACATACTACTACAAACAACACGTCTCACATGTTACCATAAACATACCAAAGTATTCCGGAGGAGAAAACAATAAACAACAAGTGCACCGTTTGAAGTCACTCACTTCCACCATGACTGACACGCCGATCTGTTGTGCTAGTCGATGTCTTGACTTGGGACTAACCTTTGACTGTGATGACTGGGACAAGATTGATGACAGGAATGAGTTTGTGGTCAGATATTCAAGCCGTTTACGTTCAAATATATCGGAGAATAATTATTCTCGAAGGACTGATTTTGATGCCAGATATTCCAAGCGGTTCACGTTCAAATCCTAGGAGCACATTATTGTAGGAATGAGTTTGTCACTAGGTATACAAGCAATTCACTTTCAAATGCTAGGTGAATGTTCTTGTAGGAATGAGTTTGTCACTAGGTATACAAGCAATTCACTTTCAAATCCTAGGAGCACATTATTGTAGGAATGAGTTTGTCACTAGGTATACAAGCAATTCACTTTCAAATACTAGGTGAATGTTCTTGTAGTTTGATACAGCCATTGTTAAAATCGACTGATCGCTGCTAACAGGCACAAATGAGCTCTTAGAATTAAGTGCATTATGTTAAAAATCTCATACATTTCAACACATGTTAACAATCTCATCTGTTTAAACATTTTTGTCAAGTCTTTATTATCATATTTTCTGACTCTGATGTTTATTTATTTAGTTAAAACATGATATTTTCCCCATTTTATTAACCATGATTAACATGTATGAGATTTATCCTATCAGAAGTATTCATTGGGTTCAAATACAATGTATTTCTTCCCGTAGATTATCTAGATGTGTTCACCATTCTTCTTCACAACATCTGTGTTACATTCAAAGAACCCTAATAATCGAATATAGCTAATAATGGAATATTTCTAATAATCGAATATCGCCAGTGCATTGATCAAAGAAGACATTGAGTGCACACCACATATTTTACTAGTAGTTTTGTGGATTTGACAGCTGTCAGTACGGAATGCTTTACACCGGATTTACATTCAAGGCGTCAAGTGAGAATCCTTGGTGTTCAAGCACTGACATTTCCGGTGTCGTGTTTACCTGTCTAGTGGCCCCCGATTGGTTGGAAAAAAAAATTACCAGAAAACGTCCCGTCAACCAAAGACAAATCAGTTTGTTCAACTTTCCTTTGAGGTAAACGTATCGTTGTTGTTCGTCCTTTACATTCGAAGAAGACCAAGACTGTATCACATGGTGAGGGCGCAGGTGGCTCGCCTGTTCTTCTTGTGCCTGGAAAGCTTTTCCACGCGTAAGACCCCTAGTTTTTTTGGGGTTCTAGTAGGATTGGATTATATTTTCCTCCTCCATTTAGGCGCGTAGAGGTGGTCTCAAATAGGGCAGCCTAGATAGCTAGAGGGGATAGCCCTGACGTGCGCTTTATTTGGATTAAAAATGAGGGGAAGTTGCGCAATTATATTCCTTGCCTATTTTGATCTAGTGGTGAGACTTGGTCAAGACGACTGGAAAAGGACAAGGGTGCAGTGGATGACCAGCAGTGTTTGTTGTGTCTCACTGTGTCCTTACACAGTGCTACTTGTTAGGTCTTATATGGTGCTACTTGTTAGTTCTTATATGGTGCTACTTGTTAGGTCTTATATGGTGCTACTTGATAGATCTTATATGGTGCTACTTGTAAGGTCTTATATGGTTCTACTTGTTAGGTCTTATATAAAATGGTGCTATCTTTTAGGTCTATTTACACAAAGGTGCTACTTGTTAGATCTTATATGGTGCTACTTGTTTGATCTTATATGGTGCTACTTGTTAGATCTTACATAGTGCTACTTGTTAGGTCTTGTACATAACATTTTGCTATTTGTTAATCTAACATGATACTAATTTTGAACTTTTACACGGTTGCACTTGTTAGGAATTATATTTAAAGAGTGCTACTTGGTGCTAAAATGGATAGATTTATCCTCGGTATTATTCTTAAAACAGATTCCCCCACCTCATTGAAACTTCAACATGCATTGATTGATTTTAAAGGTTTGATTGTGCAGAAATTTGTTTGTGTTTTTTTTTTTTATAGTTGCAGACTCGACCATGGAATCTAAGTCACATGACAATAATAAGGATGTTGATGGTGTAGAGAAGTGTGAGGTAAGTTTGATGAATCTCAAATGATTTGTTTGAAAACAATAAATAATTTTGTGGATTACTTACAAGGATGTTGTGGACGATATAAAACGATAATTCTGATAAAATAAAAAGATTTTTGTGGGTAAGAGAACAGGACGTTGCAGATAGCTTAGACTGATGTTATGGATAACATAAAAGGGTGTTATGGATAAGAGAGCAGGAAGTTGTGGGTAGATTAAAAGGACGTTGTGGATAACATAAATCGATGTGGTCGCAGCGCAATTATCACGTTGATTAGTTCCGTTCCATTTGTATTGTTGTTGGTTGTCCGTCCGTCAAGATCGACTAGGACCATCAAGTCATCCGGGTTTTTTTTTTTTGGGGGGGGGGGGGGGTTTCGGGGGGAGTTTGCTTTAGTTGGTGATCTAATGTTGCTTTCTCGGACCAGCCCGGGTGTCTCATGGGTGGCTATCCTACCGGCTTCGTGTTATTTAGCCCCCTTCTTGACATCTGATCTCCACTTGGCTCTATCGTGGGCTGTCTGCGACCATTCAAATGGTTTGAAGCTGATGGCATTTAGTGCCGCTTTCAGTGTGTCCTTGTAACGCTTTCTCTGACCTCATTGGGAGCGCTTGCCTAGCTTGAGTTCACCTGAGAATGTTTAGGGGGACGGTTGTCTTCCATACATGCCACGGCTTGTGTCCCAACCTACGGAGTTGAGACTGCATCACGGTGGTGAAGATGCTCGGTAAGTTCGCTCTAGTGAGGACATCCGTGTCAGGCACTTTGTCTTGCCACCTGATGCCGAGGAGTTTCCTAAGGCAGGTTGTGTGAAAGTGGTTTAGTTTCTTGCCGTGACACTGGTAGACAGTCCATGTTTCACATCCATATAGCAATGCCCAGATGAAATCTGCGCTATAGACCTTGATCTTTGTGTCTCGCCTGGTAACTCTCCTCTCCCATACAATGATTCGGAGTCTGTTAAATATTGCACTAGATTTGCGAGTCTTGATTTCATTTCATCATTCATGACGACAGATCCGGAGAGAATGCTGCCCAAGTAAGTAAATTTATCCTAGGCATTTAGACGCTGTCCGCTGATGGTAAGGCTCGGTTCAGCGTAGGGCATACTGGACGCTGGAGGATACATCACTTAAGTCTTCTTTGTGTTTATTGTCAGGCAAAAGTTGCTGCAGGCCTCAGAGAAGATATCAAAGCTTTGTTGCAAGTCGGTTTCAGCGTCAGCATTGATGGCACAAGCGTCCGCAAACAGAAGCTCGTTGGCGGTGTTATGCTTGACCGTGGATTTAGCTGATGCCGGCTAAGATTGAAGACTGATCCATTCGTGCTAAACCAGATCGGCAAGCCCGTGGTGGAGTCCTTGATCGCATCAGAGAGCATTGCCGACTACATAATACTGAAGAGTGTGGTAGCCAGGACACAACCCTGCTTCACACCGTTTGTAACAGGGAATGCTTGAGATGATTGACCGTTGTCCTGCACTGGTGCCATTATGCAGCTGACGGATGATGTTGGTCAAGTTTTCTGTGCTCCCGTACTTCTTCATGATTTTCTACATGTAACCTCTATTGACCCTGTCAAAAGCCTTATGTATGTGGTCCATTCTATTGTTCCTGACATTGCTATTGGAGTTGCCTGGCAGCAAAAACCATATCGATAGTTCCCTCGTTCTTTGCGGAAACCGCATTGACTTTCGGGTATTAAACCTAGCTCCCAATGGATTTGACATCCCTATCATATTTGTAACAACACCTATGTGACTTCCTTAAGATATTTGTTTAACACCTGTGTGACTCCCCTGCGATGTTTGTACAAATACCTGTGTTACTTCCCTATAATATTTGTACCAACACCTTTGGTAGTTCCTATCATATTTGTACCAACATCTTTAGGAGTCCCTATCGTATTTGTACCAACACCAGTCTGTTGAGACTAGGCAGAGAAATATTTACTTTGAGAAGCCTGGACCTGGTCCTTGTTTTTTGTTTTTTTTTTAACATCGCTTTCTTGGGTCAGCCTGACCTATTGTCGTCAAAACTTCCTGCTTTGCTTTGCTTATTAGTTACAAGGATTTAAATAAATAAGGATAAAGGGATTTAATTATGTAAGGACATAATTGTTAAAAATTTACAGGTGTTCCGTAGTTAGCATATATATAGAGTCCATTTTTGTGTCCATTTGGTCGATGGATATTCCATGTTATGATAGAAATGTGTCCTATGGAACATATTAAATTATATTTGAATGTCAAGTTCATGAGGCAAAAATATGTTCCCAGAACATCTACACCAATGGGGTCCAAGTTAAGGGGCATGGAAACGGAGGCAATAGCAAGACCCACGGTAACGGACAGTCTCAGCTGGTGCCAGGTAATGGACAGTCTCCCCTGGTGCCAGGTAAACAAGCTGACATTGATGAAGAGGACCCTTGGAAGGTGACAAGTATAAGTAAGGACTACACACCTTGGAGTGGTAGGTCATATGTAACATTACTTCATTGTTCGTTCTAAAATGAATGCGTTACTTCTATACTATATAACTGCGTTACTTAGTTATTAAATTACTTCGTCACCTCGTTATTAGAGAAATGTGTTACCTTATCATTACGTTACTGCGTTAGTCTATCACTGCAGTATTTTATTAATACAGGCTTCATTATTTCATTATTGCATATATATGAATCAAATACTGCATACATAGATCGAAAAAAAGGGAAATAAGCGAAACAATGGAAAGGAAAAGGGCAAACCTGAGGGAAAAAGGGCGCACGAAAACAGCCAACGCGTCGGCAAGAAGCCTTCGTCATCGAACAAACAACAGTACTTCTGTCAGAGGGTCGGCGTTCTATCTCCACACTGTACGACATCTGGCAGCGGGTAAAAACAATCGCGTAGACAACATTGCAGCACGCGCAAAGGAAACCTAGGCTTATCTCAAACTGCCCTTAGGGACTTCAAGATGTTGAGTCTGGATGACAAAAGAAAAACTGCTGCAGTGGCTGCTGTCACAAGACTTGCCCCCCCCCCCCCAATACCTTAAGCGGTTGGCCGCACAAAGTGTTGCCTGAGCTAAAAATAACTATACGACGAATCGTTTTATGAACCCGATCTAAAGACCAGACTACCATATTCACATAACAACATGTCCATTTCCATAACTTTGGACATATGAAACTAGCGTAACTGGAATGCTGACTTAATCTCTAGACAAAGAAACATTCTCGTAAAAAACAATTGACCTAATTGCGCTCAAGAATTTGAATGTGGGATTGCATTCTTATTTGGCTGATAAACTATTAAGAAAGCATTATTTACCTTTTTTAATTTCAAACCGAAATTCTTCTTCTTACTCTTTCCCTCTCCCCAATGAAGCGAAGGCCACAATACTTTCCCGACTTTTGCTGCCCTGGCTATATTTGCTAGTTCAGATTAGTATTCTTCATTCTCTTCATCCCTGCCTCTAGGCCCCTCTCCCATGTGGCTCTCGATCTTCCTCATTTCCTGGTACCTTGAGGATTTCGATTCGGGGCCTTTCTCATGATGTTAGTGTTTGGTTGCCCCAAAATGTGCCCTATCCATCTCTATTGTCTATTTTGTATTTCGGGTTTTCTCGGAACACTTGATGATCTATCCCACACGGAAAATGTTACACATTTTGTCAAACCCATCCTTTTTTTTTTTTTGTTGAGGATCCTTTATAAGTTTCTGTTTATAAAAACCTGCAGCTTAATACAAAATTAGATAATTCAAAATTCTGTCTATGACTCTTGGTAAAACTTAGCCACCAATCCTCGAACCTAACCCTAAACCTAATCCAATCCTCGACCCCAACACTAAGCCAATTGTTTTTTTTGTTTTTTTTGTTTTTTTGGAACTCTTGATGATCTAGCCCGCCCGGGAAATGTTACACATTTTGTCAATCCCTTCCTTTTTTTTTTTTTGTTGAGGATCCTTTATAAGTTTCTGTTTATAAAAACCTGCAGCTTAATACAAAATTAGATAATTCAAAATTCTGTCTATGACTCTTGGTAACACTTAGCCACCAATCCTCGAACCTAACCCTAACCCTAATCCAATCCTCGACCCTAACACTAAGCCAATTCCCGACCCTAACCTTAAACCAATCCTCGACCCTAACCTTAACCCAATCATCGACCCTAACCTTAACCCAATCCTCGACCCTGACATCTCCAACCTGTTAACATTGTCCGTTTCCTCATAGACACAATGTAAGTTTATTCCAATAATTAAACCATGCCAATCGTTCTTGTTTGCAGCGCTGAGTACCAAGGAGAAGTATGTCCGCGGTCTGACATTTGTCATCAAGATTCTACTGGTCATTGGATGTTTGTACATGTTCATATGTTCACTGGACTTTCTCAGTTCGGCCTTCAGGTTACTGGGAGGTAATTGCTTACTTCACTGATATAATCTCTTCCTTTATTACGCAGTATCATGTAAATGGTTTGTAAGTTTTAAGAAAGAAGAGATTTTCATAAAATCAGATTTTTACCCTCCCCCACCCCACTTTGCTATTGCGCTCAGATTGGCAGCCACTGCTTTCTCCCTCTCCCTTGTGTACACGCTTCTGCTTCAGTAGAAGGTATGAAATGTACATGTATGATTTGATTTAGTGGCAGGTGGCTGGAGTATAACGTTTCCTGCTTAATCACTAATATGATGTGAAGTTTGATTTTTTAATTTTTTTGTTTTTGTTTTATTTGTGACTGGCTGCACTGCAATCTTACAGGTGAAGCTGCCGGGAAGGTGTTCCAGCAGAGTGACATTATGACCAACCCGGTGGCTGGCTTGATGATCGGAGTCTTGGTCACAGTCCTTGTGCAGAGTTCGTCAACATCGACCAGTATCGTGGTCAGCATGGTAGGCTCTGGAAGTAAGTAGTGGTCAGTAGGGTGGGCTCAGGAACAAAGTAGTGGTCAGCATGGTGGGCTAGGTAAGTAGGTAGTAAGCAGACTGGTTCGATCATGAATTAAATAGTGGTCAGTAGCTCTGCCTTTCCCCGTTCGTGGGTCATGGCATCATAACTCCGCCTTTATTCGTCCGTAGGTCAAACAAAGTAGGGTTAAACCTGAAAAAAATGTGCACATTTCTTTTTCTGCCCACGGATATTACTTCTAGGCTAAGTGCTATTTTTTATTCTTATTTTTTCACCCTTTTTCTGTTGTTTTGTTCGATGACGAAGGCCTTCTGCCGACACGTTCGTTGTTTTGTTGCGTTCATTTTTCAGGTTTAACCCTAATTTGTTTTACTCATTTCATATTGTGCTGACATTATTGCAGTCTCTCCCCTTATTACCCTTCGTCCGTAGGTCATGGAATCTTAAATCTTAACTCCACCTTTCCCCGTCCGTAGGTCATGGCATCTTAACTCCACCTCTCCCCGTCAGTAGTCATAATATCTTAACTCCACCTTTCCCCGTCAGTAGGTCATAGTATCTTAACTCCACATTTCGCCGTCAGTAGTCATAATATCTTAACTCCACCTTTCCCCGTCAGTAGGTCATAGTATCTTAACTCCACCTTTCCCCGTCAGTAGTCATAATATCTTAACTCCACCTTTCCCCGTCAGTAGGTCATAGTATCTTAACTCCACCTTTCGCCGTCAGTAGTCATAATATCTTAACTCCACCTTTCCCCGTCAGTAGGTCATAGTATCTTAACTCCACCTTTCCCCGTCAGTAGGTCATAGTATCTTAACTCCACATTTCCCCGTCAGTAGGTCATAGTATCTTAACTCCACCTTTCCCCGTCAGTAGTCATAATATCTTAACTCCACCTTTCCCCGTCAGTAGGTCATAGTATCTTAACTCCACCTTTCCCCGTCAGTAGGTCATAGTATCTTAGCTCCATCTTTCCCCGTCCGTATGGGTGTTTTATACTATCTCTATCACGAGCATCATACCCGTTTTACACTTTATACCTATTTACTACTTTGACATCTTAACCCATTCATTCGTTTATATATATACTTCTTTCACATATTACTGCCCCAATGCTTATCTTTTACTTCCTCACTACATTGATCACTCAGACCACTCTCATCTCCACTAACTATTTTGCACATCCTCACTGCAATGATCACCCAGCAGACTTACAAAAACTGTACTCCACGAACTGACCTTGAGTAACCCCAAACCACCACAACTCGCCCTTAAAAAAACATCTCGCCCACTCACAATCAACAACTTTCCTTTACAAACATTCACGCTCACAAATCAGGTCATAACATTCTCTTTTCTCTAACATTATCCTACCAAGGAACTGCTAACATTCTAACCTCAAAAGTTACGTAGGACGCTAAATGTCAGAGGAGCTACGTCAGCGCCTCAACATCGTAAACATGTTGGTTGGAGAGTATGGAAAGAGTGAAGAGTGCTAAAAATATGTTTCTTTTCTTGTGACGGAAAAAAGAAAAAAAATATGTTTGTGTTGCTGAGAGATGTCTTGGTGTAAATCTTCGTAATTCATCACAACACAAAGAAGCTCACTTTTTTAAAATATCAAATGCAAAGCTTTTTTGACATACACTTGTCCTTTGACTCATCTATGTTAAATTATTTGGGGACTGATCCACAGCCTGAAAGATTGCCTTTGCTGGATTCATAACTGTTGGGTTAAAATAAGATAATCCATCGCAAATGATTGACTTTTGTTATCAAAATATTTGTTGCACTTGATATTTCTCTAGATAAACACCACGTCAGTCGACATCAAATATGGACTACTCTATATCTTGATAGTTTCGCTGTTCTATATAATTGATAGATGAATGTCATATATCGTTGATAGTTGGGCTGTTTTATTTCATTGATGGTTGGGCTGTCCTATATTATTGATAGTTGGGCCGTCTTGTATCATTGATAGTTACGTCGTCCTATATCATTGACAGTTGGGCTGTCGTATATCATTGAGAGTTGGTTTGTCCTATATCGTTGACAGTTTCGCTGTCTTAAATCATTGACTGACTTCTTTGTCCCTGCCAACAACACAAACATGTTGTTAAGATGATCGATCTCTTTTTCATTATAGGTGAATATTTAAGATTAATGACTAGATTAGTCTCTCATGGAATACATTTACTATGTTGAATATATTGTGACAACAGTGTTAAGTCTCGCATGTTATTTCCCATCAAAGGACTGCAACTCTCGTTAATACGTCTGGGTTATCGCGTGATTTATATATATATATATATATATATATATATATATATATATATATATATATATATATATATATATATATATATGAGATAAAATATGACAGAGAAATTACACACTATACAACATATCAAAAAAGTGTAAAAATATTTTTTAAAAAAAATATATATATATATATATATATATATATATATATATATATATATATATATATAGGAGATACAATATGACGGAGAAATTGCCCACTATGCAACATTTCCGAAAAGTGTTAAAATATTTTTTAAAAAATGGTACAAAACATGTACAACCCGGTACAGATGTCATTCACTTCAAAGCATTAAAAAAAAAAATACGCAGATAGACGACTTTCTGATGCAATTATTTGATATTTGAATTTGTTCCCCAGTTATGGACATCAGGACATCAATCCCAATCATCATGGGGGCCAATGTTGGCACGTCCGTCACCAACACCATAGTGGCCATTGGTCAGATCACAGACAAGGGGGAGTTCAGGCGAGCGTTTGCTGGGGCCACTGTCCATGACATGTTTAACTGGCTGACTGTTCTGGTACTGTTACCTGTGGAGATAGTGTCAGGTAAGACTTGGTACTGTTACCTGTTCAGATGGTGTTAGGTGAGACTTGGTACTGTTACCTATGGAGATAGTGTCAAGTGAGATTGTTTCGATTAATATTTTGTGCAGTGTATGTGATGAATGTAATAGTGACTTTAAATCAGGCCTTCGTAACCCAAATTTAAGGCAGACTTTTTACACTTGATGAAAAACTTGTGCGGGCCGAAATAAAATAGGACAGGTGGTAAAGATTTTAAGAATATTTCTTTGCTTTGCGGGCCGCAAAGTGGGTGCTCGCGGGCGGCATGCGGTCCGTGCGCCGTATGTTTGGCCGGCCCACTTCAAACCAATTCAGTATTATACAAGCATGGTCAAAATATTCCGTGTGTATATTGGATGCTACTGCAATCAAAGCAATGACTTCTTACAATTAAACAATGTACTTTGTATCAATAAGGCAAAGCAACATCTTAGATTTGTTGTGCATTTTTCACGTTTCAAATTAAATTAATTTATGTAAATGTCAAACTGAAAGAATATTGAATTGATGATTTTTTTAATTATGAAAAATCGAGACAAAAATTTTTTTTGTATGGGGGTGGGGTGGGGGGTGTAGGTTTAGACACTACCTAGGTCCCAACAGGACTGCCTTTAGCTCCAAGAGCCATGCCTCTTGGTCCCAAAAGAACCGGCATTAGGTTTTAACAGAACTGCCTCTAGAATCCAACCGAATGCTAAATCTGGATAAATTCGTATATTATTATTAGATCTATTATGTGTGCATTTAGTCATTGTTTAATTCCAGCTTGACCTTCTTAAAATTTCAAATTTAGGATACCTCTATTATCTAACGGAAGCCATTGTGGATTCGCTCCCTTTGGTCACAGATAAAGGGGCCGACAAGGACATTCTCAAGGTCATCACCGAGCCATTCACAGAACTCATCGTTCAGGTAACTATTTGGTTTACAAACCCAACAATATAGCACCGTAGTTACATTCATTCAAATCCGTTATATTACTTAAAACTCAAATCCTTAAAACTCATCTGTTTAGGTCCGCCTATGACCTGTGATGCACCCTCCTTGCCCTACCTCATTTTCTGTTTCGGGTTGATCCTGAAGTGAGTTTCACAGGAGCAAAATATCGGTAAAAGTAACAAAGATATCTTTAGTAGTTACTATCCTAGTGTCTCATTTGTATTTACTTAGTTTACATGTTTTAATAATTGTAAAGCGCTTAGAGCTTCATGATAAGCGCTATATAAAAATGCCTAAATAAATAAATAAATAAATAATCGACCCACTTCCCGTCAACCTATCAAGCTGAACTTTGGCACATAGACTAATTGCTAATTGATTGATTGTATATTTATATAGTGCTTGTATCCACGCTACTTTAGCATGCTGCCTGTGCCCTCAAGCTAATGACAAAATATTCTATTCAAGTTTCAGATCCATAACCCAAACCCAACCCTCAAAATCAGTTGTTCCTGTTGTTCATGGGGAAGATGAAGGAAATAGAATGCCCCTGATTTTGCGAGAAAAAAAAATTCCCGATTACTGCGCTCAATGAAAGTCTTAAAAATAAATAGCGCATGCGCGTTTGGTGCGTAATAGTTTCTTTTGTTTTCTGAAATAGTTGGTGAAATAAATCTTGCGGTGATAAAGTGGCGGGTCATAAATATTAATATAAAATTAAATAATAAAAATGCATTGAAAGGATTTGTAGCAAAATAAAATTTTGTTATAGGGATAGTTTAATTTAATTTCTATTTAGATCGTGTACAATTAAATCAAATTTTAACAGCGGAACACTGATTTGGTTGCTGTTGTTTGTTGTTAGAATATGTTTGTTTTTATGTTGTATGTCTTTACAATAATACGGTTGGTGTTGTATGTCACTACACTATGACCGGCTACACGTGACACGCGCCCCCCCCCCCCACCTTGCTCCAAAAACCAGGTCAACAAAAACGCCATCACCAACATTGCCAGAGGCAAAGACGCCGACGTCGACTCCGCCCACGCCATCATGAAGGTGTGCTGCGACAAGAGGACGCCGGCGGACTGCTGCAGCGACAAGCTGGCCAAGTCCTTCACCTTCATCAAAGAGGGCGCCAACTACACGCAATCTCAAAAGCTCCAAGTGTGTAGTGAGGTCAGCAGCTAAGTGTATTAAGCTAAACTGGTTTTGATATGCAGTATTCTAATCGATACTTTAATGATAATTTTTTTTTTAATGAGACCAAAATAGAAATGTCTACATTGAACATTTTTTCCCGCTTCTTTTCATAGCTGATATAAGTTTAGTGTTAGGGCTGATACATTGGCTTGTCAATTGAAACACGGTTGATGGTAGCCCTGAAGAGATTTTCTTGTCGAATATTTCCCAACGTGTTTGTATTTGTCCGCATGTCCAGCTGCGGGATTGCGTTGGCCAGAACAAGTATGTGGCGGTGCCGAGCTGTTTGAGCACCCCTTGGAGCTACAAGTCGTACGTCATCACACGTGACACCGAGCTGATTGACTGTGACATTTTCAGTGGGTCCTCAGCTGAGCAAGAGTGCTGCCAGACTCGTATTGGTGAGTTGAAAGAACTCTGTACACAATATCAGATTTACTTGGACAGAACTCTGTACACAATATCAGATTTACTTGGACAGAACTCTGTACACAATATCAGATTTACTTGGACAGAATTCTGTACAAAATATTTATTTTACTTGGACAGAGCTGTAGACAAAATTAATTTTTTACTTGGACAGAATGTTAGTTTAACGTGGACCGAATTATGAACATACTATCAGCTGTACTTGGTCACATTTGCAACTTGCTTTCTTTTGACAATGTTTGGACTTCAAGCTTTCAGGGTCTATAATGCTAGTAATTTCTGGTAAGTCTGACACAATCATGAGCATCCCCTTCAACTGTTCCAGGCAGCTTCTCAGCCAACACCAGCTACTACAGACAAGGGTGCGAGACCGTGAGTACATGCTACACGTCACTCTCTCACAACTTCACGATGTCCAGATGCATGTCGTCCTGGTCAAACGTAGATCACGTGGTCGGGGAGGAGTTCTCTTGTACGAAATACACACGTGACGTGGAAAAGATCACCTGCATCAGTGAATGTGAGTGAAACATCCATGGATTAGTGGATTCATTATCTTTGGGTCCATTCTATATTTGTCTACTTGCCTCAGGGTCCAAGCTATAATCGACGTATTGGCATAGGATGCATTCTAAAATGATTGGTTGTCTAAGGTTCCATTCCATAATTGACTGGTTGGCTCACGGTCCATGCTATAAGTGATGGTTGCCTCGGAGTCCATTCTATACTTGACTGGTTGGCTTAGGGTGCATTTTATGAGTGACAAATACATAATTTTCCCAGTGGAAAATAATTGGCCTTGTGATAAATAATCAACCGAGTCAAACAAGCTGGACTAAACTGTTTACGTTTTTAAACCAGATGTTTACTATGTTAACAAGTTTAATTTTCTGTTTCGGTTTAATCCTGAAGTGTCAAAGTGTCCTCTTTTTATAGCCATTTTCATTGTTTCTATAGAATAGTAGTTACTATCCTAGTGTCTCATTTGTATTTACTTAGTTTACATGTTTTAATAACTGTAAAGCGCTTAGAGCTTTATGATAAGCGCTATATAAAAATGCCTAAATAAATAAATAAAATAAATAAACAATAATTTAGAACATTACCAAAAATAATTCCAAAAGTTTCTGTCATCAATAACTTCCTTTGGTTAATTAAAAAACATTTCTTTATAAACAATATAAAAAACAAAAACAAAAATATATTTTTTATCTAATAATTTCATCTATGATGTCATTAATCATTTCACAACTTACATTCCAGGTCAGTTCCTTTTCAAGGGAATGTACCCAACCCTTAACGACAAGGCAATCGGTGCAATTCTGCTAGTTATTTCCCTTGCCATACTATGCGCCTGCCTCGTGTCGATCGTCAAACTGCTCCACTCGCTCCTGCAAGGTCCCATGGCGCTGCTCATCAAGAAATTCATCAACGCCGACTTCCCTGGCCCCATGGCCTACTTCACCGGCTACCTGGCCATCATCATCGGCGCCGGCCTCACGATCATCGTCCAGAGCTCGTCCATCTTCACGTCCACACTCACCCCTCTCGTCGGCATAGGAGTCATCGAACTGGATCGTATGTACCCACTGACCCTCGGCTCTAACATCGGGACCACCACCACCGCCATTTTGTCCGCGCTGGCCAACACTTCCGGTCTGAGAAACGCCCTACAGGTCGCCTTCTGCCATTTGTTTTTCAACATCACCGGAATTCTTTTATTCTACCCCATCCCTTTCCTTCGTTTCCCCATCCCCCTGGCGAAATTTCTGGGCAACTGTACGGCGAAGTACAGGTGGTTCGCCCTTGTGTACATTCTCGCCATGTTCTTCATGGTTCCAGCCCTCGTTTTCGCCTTGTCCATCCCGGGGTGGTACGTCCTCCTCGGGGTGCTTGGTCCCATCGCAGTGGTCATCATCTTTATTTGCATCGTTAAACTCATCCAAGCGAAACGACCACAAATGTTGCCCAACAAGTTAAAAAACTGGAAATTTCTACCGGAACCTCTCAGATCACTTGAGCCGTACGACAAGGTCATGCAGAAAGTTTTCTTCTGTAAACGGTTCCAGTCGGAGACGAATGATGGAAAAATTCCTGAAAGTAGTTCAAAGCCAGGAGTCATAACTGAGACGAATGATGGAAAGATTGCTGCGAGTAGTTCAAAGCCAGGAGTCATCACTGAGACGAATGATGGAAAGATTGCTGCGAGTAGTTCAAAGCCAGGAGTCATCACTGAGACGAATGATGGAAAGATTGCTGCGAGTAGTTCACAGCCAGGGATCAACAGTACACAACTGTAGGCAGTGTGCGTGACATGTTTTGAATAACACATTAAAAAAACAACAACTGAAAGTGTCCAGTAAGGAGACCAATAGAAAGGGCCCTAACTAATGAGACTAATGTCCTTACCCAGGCCTAATACGATTCAATAACTTAACTGACAAAAGGAGCGAACTAAAGGACCTTATTGACACTGTCACTAATATTGCACTTGTCACCTAGACAATACTTAACGTGTACTTGTCACATAGACAATACTAATATGGAGTTGTCACACAGACAATACTTGATGTGGAGTTGTCACAAAGACAGTAATAAATATGAAGTCGTCACATAGAGGATACTTAATGTGGAGTTGTCACATAGTCAATACTTAATTTGGAGTAGTCACATAGACAACACTTAATGTGGACTTGTCACATAGACAGTACTGAATGTGGATTAGTCACAATGATATTACCTCATGTGGAGTTGTCACATTTACAACACTTGATGTGGAGTTGTCAAATAGACAATATTTAATCTGGAATTGTTCTATGTACATTACTTAATGAGGAGATGTCTTGCCGAGTGTAGTTGTAAATTGATGAGGGACCACATTCGAAACAATGACATAAGCAATATCGCTGGTGCCACCCTAATCAGCCCTGACATGACCCAACATGACCTCAAGACCTATTGCTTTAAAAAACTATTTTATTTGGTTGCGTGGCCTGAGTGGCCAATACATGAGCGTGCACGGCATGTCAACAATGATACAATGGTTGGATTGTGTTAGGACAACCTCAAACCTCAACATGAACCTCCAGCAGCTGTCAATTACTGCGCCTAATCTTTAACTGGACCTTTCCACGACGATTCCCCCCACGAATTCCCCCCCCCCGAAGACGCTCCACACGACGTCTACACACTAATCCCACCCAACACCTCCACACGACGTCTACCCACTAATCCCACCCAACACCTCCACACGACGTCTACCCACTAATCCCACCCAACACCTCCACACGACGTCTACCCACTAATCCCCACAACACCTCCACACGACGTCTACCCACTAATCCCCCCAACGCCTCCACACGACGTCTACCCACTAATCCACCCAACACCTCCAAACGACGCCTCCCTCCGATGTTTCCCTACGACGCATCTTCACGACGCCCCCACTGCCCACAACGCCTCTCTATGACGCTTGACCCCACTTTACATGACGACTCCAAATGACGCCTACCAACGAATTCCCCCATCGCCTCCACAAGACGCCTCCTCACGACGCCTCAACAAGATGCCTACCCACGATGCCTCTCCAAAAAGCGTCCCCCTTAGAAGCGAAAGTAATGCAATGTTAGCATCTCATCGGCCCACATTCTGATGACGTCATAATTGGATCTGTTCATGTCATTCTAATTTTTAAATGTATTTTTAGTTTTCTTAAGTCTTTCTATGAACGTGACCATTGTAAATCAAAGATATTGTGGATTGTAGTCAATTATCCACAAGGTATCAACTAGTGAAGCTATTAAGATTGTATTTAACAGAGATTTTAGCAAAAAAATGTCTCGAAATTAAAGCGCATTTAAACATCGAAATATACAAGTCTACTGCATTTTAAAATAAATCTGCGCTTTTTAGTTGAAAATACTTGGTGAATTAATTAAATTACTTCCCTTTCAAATTCCCAGGATAGTTTTGTAGCTATAAAAACGGGGAAAAAACGTTCTGTTATTTGAATCTGTTAGTTGTGGCCTCAGTCAACATGACCTTTTATCTTTACGAAAAATCCCATTTTTTTTTTCTCACACAAAAATCTCATCTTCCAGATTTCATCGGTATATTCCTTACGTTAATATTTGCTTTAATTGTGTTTAAAATAAATATATCATTGTTGTAGCGTGCAGTGTACACAATGCCATATTATTTTGTTGTACTCTTTTGATGTAGCTTTTGTAGCGAATAGCAATTATATTTATCTTAATCACTTTAGTAGTTTTGTTTGTCCTTGTTAATAGTGGATAACTGTAATTTATTTCAGCACCAGCCTGGTCATGAAAATTATGGGGCCTGGCTATATTCAACAAAATTGACCATGAATAGCAGACGATGAAATTAAGAAATCTCCTTGATCCCGGGAAATTACCTGTTGGTCTAAAAGCATGCCTTATAGATAATCCAGCCCTGCCCCCAACCCTCATACCAAACACCACATACATAGTTACGTAAAATACATATTTTCGTACATATCCTGGCAAAGGGACATCTCAAACGTGCAGCTTCGCGGCCCGATACCGGGCTTAGGGGAGGTTCTTTGGGGGAGGGTTTAAGGAGCATTAGCTCGACGGCCCGCTGACGCCATTTATTGTGACATATCGGTACACACATTTCTTTGAATAGATTTTCATTATATTTGCTACAAGTAAATGATAGAGGAACAAATGTTCAACAGACATTCATTGAGTCCGTTAGAAATAGTTTTTTAAGAATCTGCCACCTTCGAGGACTTACTAGACGGTAGATACGCCCATGTACCTACTTAAACTACGGGAGCTTCGGTGAAGTCCAGACAAGGAAAACATTTGTCGTGATACGTCATCCTTCGTTCTAGTAGACAGGATTCTGTCATGAGAAAATCGCATGTCATTATGCTGCTTGTCAGATTGGCGTGATGTGCGGCTGCGTGGTTGTATGAGTGGTTGTGTGGCTGCGTGGCTACGTGTTCGAATGTGTGGCCTGTTTGGGAGATGTGGGGCCTTGTGGTTTTATGAATGGTTGTGTGGCTGTTTGTAAGGTTAACTTTGTGTTTGCTGAATTTTATCCCGCTTTGGATGAATATGTGGTTGAGTGTTCACTTGTATATGTGGGTGTGTTGACACCATGACACGACATAGTATGTCATCGGAAGTTAGCTCAAATGTGGCAAGAAAACTCTCACCGGCTACATCCTGCTTGTGAATTACCCCAAATAATCGGCATGAAACTGCTTGGTAAGTAGACCCCAATTGAGAGGCTTCATTCTGTTTGGAAAGTAGACCCCAATTTAAGGGCTACATCAAACTTAGTAAGTAGAAACCAATTAAGAGGCTACATCCTGCTTAGTAAGTTGACCTCAATAAAGAATCAAAAGACTGAGTCAAGTAGGCAGTCTGACATTTAACTCCATGCAACTCATCGAAAACTCTACATCGTAGCATCGGGTTTTCTAAAGTGCCGTTAAAGTAGAGGGAGGGCTCTGCTGGAGTGGAAACCGTTGAGTCTACATAAATTGACTTGCCCAGGCTTCGCATTTTCTCGTGTCCAAAACAAGATTTTATGTCATCTCCCAGAGACTCATAAATGGAGGGACATGGTTGCTGTCACGTCAATTTCTGTGTTTAAGCAACTAGTCTCTATAAAATCTCTGGGGTCCCCTGAAAATACCATATATGCCGATGAACACAGAGACAAAATCCTGTGTTGAGAGCTTACAAGTGTTTGATGGAATCGATCATGGGATCGTGGAAACAGTTGAGCTATTCACCCAAAATATATTTGAGCATGCAGACGTAACCATATCGGTTTGAAAGAGAGAAAAAACGTAGACAATTGAAATTCAAAACTTTCATCAGATCTATTATAATGAAAGGTTCACATAGATACGATAAAATTAAATGAATCAGTACAGATCTATCATTGTCATAACAACATTTTCTGTTGTAGCAAGGGGGATGACTTTTAAAATCCTTTATATTAACTTCGCTATTGTTCGTGTGTTTGTGGCAAAATCTTTCGGAGCGCTAAATGACCCACGTCCCGTCAACCTATCGAGCTGAAACTTGACACATAGACTCGTTGACGATAGCAACACATTGCGTCCAATGTTCAACCCCACACCCAAATCAGTTTTTTCCAGATGAATGAGAGATGGTTTGTTCAATGGGCGCGTTCTTTTTGGAGCGAAGTTTCATTGTGTAGCTGTTGCTATGGTATTTTTATTTCTTCTTTTTTAATATGAGATTAAAAATGTAAAATAAAAAATTGAATTGAAATTTAAAAGATATATGAAACGTGTTTTTCGCCAGAAGTTTACCCATTTACATAACTGATTCTTAATATGATAAATCTCGTATAGTTATATAAATGCAACCAAAAAAAAAATGAACATAAAGGATTGATACGAATAACTTTGTTTCAGGAGTTATTTAATTGGTTATAACTTTTGTGCCACCCCCCCCCCCCCGCAATTTTGTATTCATGTTTACACATATTTTTGGTAGTTGAAAAAAAAAAAAATGAAAATAAAGGTTTGATACGAATACCTTTTTTTCAGGGTTTTTTTATTTGTTTAAACCTTTTGTCCCCCCCCCCCCCCCCCACGCAATTTTGTATTCATGTTTACACATATTTGTGGTAGCTGAAACATTCATTGGGTAATAGTCAAAGTTAGCAGCTTTGGATTACATTTATAATATATTGTTATATTGACACAACTTGTTGGTGTCTTATTAATCTTTTTTGAAAGCTTTACCGCAGTAGAAAACTTTTTGTAACAGGTTTTGTTTGATTAGCTGTTTGTAAATATAAGACAACTAGGTACGTTTAATCTTGTCTAGGCCATTGCTACTGAACAGTTTTTTGTGAGTAGGAACATGCCAACGTGACAACCACTGAAAATATTTGTGAGTCGGCACGTTTGACGTGATTGCCACTGAGCATAACGTGTCGGTAGGAACATGTTAATTAATGATTTGTTAGGTTATCATTTCATTGCGATCCGAGCTTCCAGTGAACCATCAGACTGTTATGAACGAGAGGTTTAAATTTAAGTTAATGATATCCAAATGAAGAAAATGAAAAAGACTAACAATTATCTCCAACAAACACAAAAGCACAACACAACTTTACAACAATGAATAAAAAAAACAATATTCCATTTTGTAATGTGAAAACTGAAATTTCTAATAAACTAAAAAGGGGACAAAACCACGCATTATTTCAACCAGCATGGTCACGTGCCACTGTCTAGCCAATGCGCTTCAACCAACTTTTCCGGATGTAGTCACGTGAGCAGCGTGAAGGTCCTTCGTCAATGACGTCGGCATTTGTCAGACGGCAATCCCTGCAGCAGGCGGCCATGTCGTACAGCTCCACGCCGTAGGCCTGGAAGCAGGCGAAGCAGCCCAGTAGACAGGTCATCTTGACCTGGATGGGGTTACATTCGAGACTGGACGATCGTGCCAATACCACGTGGGAGGAGAGTGAGATGGCCAGGAAGGTGATGACCAATCCTTTGATCTGGGGATAAAAATGTGGCATCATAGTTTGAGTCAGTGAACGAGTCAGTGAATGGTCTGATTATGGCTTCATAATGTTAGTCAGTTAATATTCTGATGATGAGGTCATAATATAAGTCAGTGAATGATCTGATGATGACGTCATAATATTAGTGAGTGAAAGTTCTCGGATCAGGACCTGCATTTAAATAAGTCAACATAAATTATAGTTATCTACCTTTAAATGTTTGAAGTTGGCAGACGTTTTGTTGTTGTAATAATCGATGTGAAATGTCCAGCTTCAAGTTCAATGCAAATAATCGATTTTAAACGTCCAAGACATTAATATGTTGTGGTATGTTTCTTGTGTAAAATCTATCACATAATGCTCAATATACCATTAAATAAATCTTTATCAGTTGTTTTTTTTTCACTTTATTCAACAAAAAATTTCGTATGGGATTAAAGTTAATCAGTTGATATGACCTCTGGCTTTATTGAAATATGGGATGCTTTACATGTAGTATTTACTCTGTGAATTACACCTGTTTACCACAGTTGTGGTTCATGGTCAGCGAGTCTTACGTTGGCGGTACAAATGGGCCCAGCATGAGACAAGTTACTGGATTAAAGTTATTTAGATGTAAATACCCTGACCAAATAAACAACTAAATAAAATGCCTCTTGTCAAACATTAATAGTTAATCAATTGTTCTAGCATTGGCAGAACGAGGATTACAAAATGTGCAAATTTTTCAAGTTCAAAATAAAAAAGATAATTGTTAGTTTAGTTAAGTCCAGTTTCCGTCTGCCAAAGAAACCAGATCGCAAAATTACAACACCCTTTGCAAATTTGCGGAAAGTGTTAAACATTTACGGCAGACCGTCGGCTTGCAGACCGGTTTGGAGGACACCAAAGTATACAATAAACAAGACTTCAGTTAAACACCAATAAATTATCATAATACTCTCTTCTAACGGTGAACCTTAAACGAAGACGAATGAAAACCTAATATAATTGTAGCATGTGGTAATTAACTCGACATGGAAAAAGCCACATCTTAAGATTACTTACAATATCTTTTCCTGTTTGGTTTAACTCTTGCACATGCACCCCGTTTGCTTTATGGTCTTCTTTTTTGCTTTAAGGGAGTTTTTTAGTGGACGTGTGACAATTACTTCTTTTAAAGGGGCCCTTTTAAGTGACATTTGACATTTATTGCTTTTTTTAGGGAAATTTGACAATTATTGCTTTTAAAGGGGCTTTTTTAGGTAATTTTATTGCTTCTCTTGCGTGTTCCTGAAAGTTAGGTTAAATATAATGTACATTTTAAATGCATGCAAATCTTGTTTGTGTTGTACTGATGAAGGCGTTTAGCCGAACAATCTCATTTTGTACTTTTCAACGACTTACTGAAAGCTAGCAATGTTTTTCTGGATGTCTGCTAATGGGAATATCATATAATGCTAACATTTTGAGCACCTATGTTTAGTTGAATGTCCGCTAATAGGAATGTCATGCAGTGCTAACATTTCGAGCTCCAATGTTTTGGTGGCCGTCTGCTAATAGGAATGTCATGCAGTGCTAACATTTTGAGCTCCAATGTTTTGGTGGCCGTCTGCTAATAGGAATGTCATGCAGTGCTAACATTTCGAGCTCCAATGTTTTGGTGGCCGTCTGCTAATAGGAATGTCATGCAGTGCTAACATT